CCATAAATAAATACAAAAAAATCAAGAGTGAGAAATTACAGTATACAGTATATGTACTGTATGTTGTGTTGTCAACGTAAGAGAAACAATAATTGAGACCCCTGGAATTTATTTATCTATCTCTCCAACTCTCGGATAACCAAAGAAAAGACAAAAGCAATGACTTAATAGCTATCATTAATAGTACTTAATATTACCCTTTCCTTGCTAGTAGTGGCTGTGACCCACACTTGTACAAATCCCGTGCAGTACTTTATTCTCTTAGCTACTGACCCGGCTCTTTAGCCGTTTGGGCAGCCAGTCATATCATTGTTGCGCACTCACTGTTGGCAAGTACTGGATCAATAATGTATCTGTAACTGCTGCTTCTTCGTCCCTTTGGGACATGTAATAGGCCTCCTTACATTTGGTTTGACCTAAGTGCATCCTCTTACACTTTGTGACATTGAATCTTAACAGCCATTCCTTGGACCACTTTTGAAGCTGACAGTTATTTCTGTAGTTCTTCACAATCCGTTTGGTTTTTAATTTCCCTGAATTTCAGTAAAAATTTGTATGGAGGAATGTATAGCTTCTGGCATGTCATTTGTTTTACAAATAAACACCTACGGGCCCAGTACTCTGCCCTGTGGTACCCTGCTTGTCACGAGTACACATGGCTATTTCGTGCCATTAATCACCACACTTTCCAGTTTAATTTTCACCCTTTCATGGGATACAGTGTCGAAAGTCTTAGTCCAATTATATATTGTCGATATTGCCACCACGCTCCAGGGTCTGGGTCCAAACTTCCAGCATCTTTAGTAATTGCCTCAAGGAAGAGCGCCCTGGTATGAAACTACAGTATGTTGTTTCGTAGTAGATGTTCCATCGTGGCATCTCTTATAATGCTGGTCAAGTTAACCGACCTATAATTATTTATGGTGTGGCGATGTTGGCTGGCTGTCTCCGATGCATATGACCTGCAGACTCATCTTGGTTGAGAGATGACCATGCAGGTGTGTCATTGTTAATCTAGTCAGGCAAGGGTTCACCAAGCTGGTTCTGAAACGTGTTTTTATTTATCCAGGGCGCTGCGACCTATCTGGTGTACGTGCTGAGAGTGAGGAGGTTGTCCTCACTTAGTCGGCACCAAGATTACATGTTCACTTCAATACTAACACTAAATCATATTCACTTCAACACTAATACTGCATGTTTACTACAACACTAATAATACATGTTCACAGCAACATTAGCGCCACATACGGCCACATGCAACACACTATATAGCAGTAAATATTCGCTCCGTTACATATTCACGTAAAACAGAACCACAGCCATTTTCAAATTCTAGAAAGATTTTAAAATATAGCGTGACAGTAATTTTTAACACTACCTATTTAAATTCCTTTGTCTTCCCTCGTCTGCTTTACGCCATTTTTTTTCAGAAACTCACCAACAATGTCTATTTTCACAGTACCGGCCCTCAACTTTCAGGTGAAAACAGAATGCTCCTTGAACAGGGCCAGACCTCACATTTGACCTATTGTAATCTTTCAGTTTCTGTAGTTGCTGCTAGCCCTTCTCATTCCGCAACGCCGTATCTTTAATCATTAATTAACTAGTATTTACTTGGATAAATTTATGTTTAGCCAGATGTTTCAGCCTAGGTATATTTATTCATAAAATAAAACAAAGTAAGACTGTATACCTATAGTTTTATTTAATTACACAATACTGTTAATACAATATAGCTCTGTAAAGATGTGTATACAAACAGAACCGACACATTCAATCACACTCACACACACATCGATAATCACCAAATGTACAGTGGGAGTCAAAAGTCTTGAACACTTGACAGTATTTGGCACGTAAGTACCCGAAGATCTTGGGTATTAAGGAGAGTTTTATCCCATTTTGTGGTTCAGGCATAATATGTGATGACAAGTAGTGTTATTAGTATATCCCGTTCATATGTGTATAACTCAGAGGTAGGTGTTCAAGACTTTTGACCCCGACTGTACATGGCAAGATAATTATAATATGTCAGAATTCTTCATGATGTCAACTAGTTCCATTCCCTGAACCAATCAGAGAGTTCCATTCCCTAGACCAATCAGAGAGCTCCATTCCGTTGACCAATCAGAAAATTCCAGTCCATGGACCAATCAGAGAGCTCCATTCCCTGGACCAATAATTTACTAATAAATGACGCAAATAACGCAAATAAATAACGCAAATAAATTACACAAATATAAGATGCGAATAAATTATGCAAATATATGATACTAATATAAGACACAAGTAAATAACACAAGTATATGATTGGTCCAGGGAATAGAGCTCTCTGATTGGTCAACGGAATGGAGCTGTCTGATTGGTCAAGGGAATAGGGCTATCTGATCGGTCGAGGATTGAAGCTCTCTGATTGGTCTAGAGAATGGAGTTCTCTGATTGGTTCAGAGAATGGAGTTCTCTGATTGGTGCTGGGAATGGGGCTGTGTGAGTGGTCCAGGGAGTGGAGCTCTTTGATTGGTCCATGGAATGGAGCTGTCTGATTGATCCAAGGAATGGAGGTCTCTGATTGGTCAAAAGTTGTCAGAATTTGGTTAAAAATTTTCAGTATTTTTTTTAAATTCTAAAATTACAAAAAGATAAATTCTCAACAATAGTCCAGAAATGTTATAGAAAATGAAAAAAAAAATATTTTTTTCCTTCCAAATATTTTTGCTTAAATCAGAAAATTAAAGTAAACTAAATAAAAAATCAGAAATTATCAGAAATTTCCCTTTTTTTATGTTCTAAAATTTGTCAAAAATTTTGATTGTAGGGGGAAGTACTGTAATAATGGGTCAAACATGAAAGGGAAAATCATGGAAGTGCAAGCACACCTTTTGGCAATAAATCCCTGTGCACTCTTTGTGCTTTGTGGTGCACATACCCTGAACTTGTGGTGGCTGATGCAGTTAAAAGCTCCCCAGATGCATTAGAGTAGTTTGGAATTCTTCAGAAGTTGTTTACTATGTTTTCAGCTGCAACACAACGATGGGCAATACTGATGAACAGGGTAGACATCTCCCTGAAATCATGGTTAGATACGAAGTGGGAAAACCGTATCAAAGCTATCGAGGCTGTGCGTTATCAAAATAAACAAGTAAGGGAGGCCCTGCTGGATATGGGGAAGTTGGGTCTCACCATTTTTTTTATTTGCACCGTGGTAAAGAATGACATTCTGCAACAAATACAACAAGTGAGCAAACTCTTGCAGTCTACTACCATGCAGCTTGATGTAACTATGAGCTTACTCAAGAACACTAAAGCCCCCTGGTGAGCTACCGAGAGAATGGATTTGTCTCAGCACAAGCATCAGCTAAGGACGTGTGCGCGGAGATGACCGCATAACATTAGCTAAGTAAAGTAATAAACAGGTCATGTGGTAACACCCGGTAACCTGTAACCGAGAACGTCAATGGCAACCTTGACCTCAGATGACCATGATCCAGCAGGCAAAATTGAGCTGGGGTCAGGGCCGGATTCAGGAGTGGGCAAAGTGGGCAGCTGCCCAGGGGCCTCCAGATGTTAAGTAGTAGCTATATCAGGGCTGGTCGACTTGAAACCACATGAATGACTCCAGTCATGTCTCAATTTTGTGTGTGTGGTGGGAATTTGTACACTATCAATAAATATACAGTTAATTAAAAATTTATCAGTGTTCTAATTTCCTCAATATAATTGCACATGGCTTCAAAATTCTCCAAAGAAGTGTTCAAATTTCAAAATTTTTCCGAGGGGCTTACAGCGCCCCCCGGAACTCCCAGATGTTTAGGCTCACTTCACTCACCACCCCACCCTCTTGGGTAGTTATAATGAGGGGGGCCTCCACAAAGAGGCTGCCCATGGGCCTCCACAGGTCTAAATCCGGCACTGGCTGGGGTGTCCTTTCACGTAAGATTGTGGGGATGAGGTCGGTTGTAGCGCACTGAGTATGACACACCCACGTTAATCGTAAGACATTCATTCAACTCTCAGCTGGGCCCTAAGACATACAGATGAAGCGATCTGGTTGAGCCCAGATTCTTTCTACTCCTACTGTATTTCAGTTTCACCACTTTTCTTCAATCCTTAATAATCTTCTTTCACCTCATAACTCATGACTCCAAAGCGAAAGACATACTGTAGAACCATACTTAGGTTGAAGAATATTGTATAATATTTTGGAATTTCCAAATATATGCCTTATAAAACAAAAAAATATGAATATGCACTTTAGCTCAAAAATGGCTTAAATATGCATTTGCATATGCACATATGCAAATGCATAATTATCCTAAGCCTAGTCATTACCTAATACCTGACCATTGTGGACTTGATCTCACCCTCCTCTGTATATATATATATATATATATATATATATATATATATATATATATATAAGCAGTGTTTCAGAATTAAACAAAACCAATATTGCAATGTAATAAATTATTGTAAAAATTGCAAAATTTGATATTCATAAAGAATATTGAATTTGAGGAGGGAAGTGTTGTTACAGGTACTGTACTTGGTCACTGACGGGGACTTGTAAACAAAGGGGTACACATACGGGTTATTCCCATCATACAGCAGTAATTGTAAAGTTACCGTGCATTGTGTATATCTCCAAAATTTACGAAAGAAGGGGGAGTTATTGCTATTTATTTAAGTCTATTGAATATATAATGAGTGCATGTAAGTTTTAAAGTTAATTATTACATTATATAACACCTTCCCAAATTTACTTTGCCGAGCGATACATTTCTTCTCATGTTTCACGGCGGCCCGAGAGAAAGTGCGGGAGCAGCTGACATGTTGGAAATTAGTCATAAATCTCTTCCATTCGTTGTCGAGACTTCCTGATATTATGTCGAGACACGCATAGTACATTTCTAACTCACATGGACAATTTTAGGGAGAATATGAAGTAGTGCGCGGTGTGATGGTCATCTGTCCCTTTATTTACGTCATGAACTAATGCCATTAGCGCATGCGCAGTGTTAAAGTTCGGCCATCTTGGTCTGTCTCAGTGTGAATTCTCCTCCAGTGATATTGTTTTTACTGGTAATATGACACCACTTTATTAATTCAACTTGACATTGCTTCAATATACTCCCTTATTGAGTAATTAGGGTGCAGGTGTGGTGCAGCCAGAGAGATAAATGGGAATATTGGGAAATAAGAGACAAAATATTTTGGCACACGTTCACCCTCCCAGAAGATCCTCCCGATACATTGTTTTGGTTGGTGAAAACTGCCACTGTACTCGTTGTAGCTGGGTCATCAAGGTTTCTGAGGTGCAGGGGACTAATACATGTGTAATTCTTGTGATATGGAAGGTGTAATAGGTTTTGGTCGCTGCGTAAATGAAACAATATGGTCAAAAGTTAACCTACAGTTGGATGAATGTCGTGGGAAAAATTAAACTTGTTTCATCGATAGGAAATTAAATATATATCTGATTTTCACATTTTAATCATGCACTTTAAATAGTAACTTATTTATTCGTTTAGTCAGATGAAGTCATTACTTGTTTAATAAGGGATGGAATACATAACTTAAATCTCATTCCACTTTAACTCCGGTTACTTACATAGCTGTGCTTGTTAGGCTCTGTAGAGGAAGTGTGCTATGATTGGGCGGTGACCTGGTGTTGTCATTCTGGCCTGTTAGTGGCAGATGTGATGGTTATGACAAGGGAGTTAAGTGGCTACATTGTTAGTATTTGTAGTGTGGGGAGTCGTGGAAGGAAGTCATATGGACATTTGCATCACTATAATATGTTCAACTTTGGCTCAGTCTAGTATTTGTGTTTGACATGTATGAAAGTAACTGTGAGAATGTTGAAGAAATTTGCGTATTTTATTTACTGGTTGACATAAATAGCTAATAGAATTGTGAGGAACTTATCCATATGTTTTTAGGATTATTGAACACTTACCTATTTCATAGTAATTGCATTTTATAGGTAGTTGGTGATTATTTACTGCATGCATTTGTTATTATTTTAAACTTAGTGGATATTTTACCGTGAGCGGCTAAGTTCATACTAACGCTATTTTACCGGGAGTGAGCTCTGATTGGCTATAAACTTTTTGTTTAATATGACGGGAGGGGGGGGGGGGGTGTCTGCCCCCAACCCCCCGGCTAGAAAGATAGGTAAGGTTGGGTAGGTTTCTTTGGTTACAGTCCAACTCGGCCCATTGCCAACTCGGACCATCTCGGATGACCAACTCGGACCGCTTAGGTTAATGAACTCTGACTAAAAAGTACTGTAAAAGTAAAAGTTTACACATTTTTGCATGAATGATAAAAGTACAATGATAAAAATCAGCATATATTATAAGGGGGGCGGGGAAGGGAAATTGATTTATTATTATTTATCTTCATTCTATCTTATTAATACATAAATGTACATATGTGGTAGAGGTGATATTTTTTATTTTATATATTTAATTTTTTAATTTTTATTTAGTTCACAATTAAGATCAATTTACCTGGTGACTTGACAACGATAACCTCACAAAATATGACGGTTGAAGATGACCTGATCACAAGATCTGAGGTTGACGAGTTTCACAAAAATTTAAATAATGAGTTACTTAATGCACAAAAGCAGAACATACCATACAGAAAATGCAGGTCAAATAACAATGACCCCACATGGATAAATAATTATTTAAAGAATATTATTGGACAAAGGAAGGCTATAGGTAAGAGAATAAATCGTGAAGTTTACCTCCGAGATTATTATAAGGTATTGGCCAGTAGGTTTAAGACTGAGATAATAAAAGCAAAGAGGAATAATGAACTGAAGGTAACAAGGGAGGCAAAGGCAAACCCCAAGGGATTCTTTCAAATTTATCAAACTAAAACACGAGGCAAGATTGGACCAATACAGTCAGATACCGGGGAGCTAACTGAAAAGGACGGAGAAATGAGCAATAATCTGAACCGAAAATTTAAACCTGATACCCGAGGCACCGACTATGGTATACAGAGATAGTGCAGAAAATAGATTAAGCGAGATAATAGTGACTACTGTAACGATGTTAATAAACAAATAGACAAGCTAAAGCCTAAAAAGTCTCCAGGTCCTGGTGATATATTTGCCAGAGTATTAAAGGAATGTAAGGAAGAGCTTAGTATGCCCTTAGCAAATTTGTTTAACATATCATTAAAAACGGGTGTAGTGCCAGAATCCTGCAGGATAGCGAATGTAATACCTATTTTCAAGAAGGGATATAGATCACTATCCTCCAACTACCGTCCAATCAGTTCAACATAAATTTTAGGCAAATTGCTGGAAGCAATAATTTCAAATCCCATTCAAAATCACCTGGAGAAACACAAGTTATGAATGTGAATCATGGTTCAATGATCAAGTTCTACTAACATAACTCATAAAATTCGTCCTTCATACCGATTGAACCCTTGGTATTCACTTATTCACACTCTTTGTATTTCAATGAACCAAAAGAGACATAAAACATATCTCAAATTAATTCCTGAACCTCTAGTCAGCTACTTGTTTGAAGTGTGCAAGGTGGGCTGAGTTGGTTATTTAAGATGGGCCTAGTTGGAGGTACACCATTTCTTTGGTTGGTTAGATCAGGTTTTAATAGGTTCTAGTAAATGTCTCCTCTCTTACACTGATAAGAAAAAGGGGGAAAATGAATAAAAACTTGTTTGGTGTTCATTTTAGTACTTTACCCCACATTTTCCCTCTACTGCCCACTTCGAACAACCAATATTGTTGGTAATTGGGGAAGTCTTATCGGTTAAAATAATAAAAAATATAAAGTTGCACTGGACACATAATTCTGTATAATATATATTTTTTTGCTTTCACTGTATAAATAGAAATATGAAGTTCCATGTTCGACCTAAAACGAATCTTTACCTCTATATTTGCTAGTTGTTTCCATGAAGAACAGAAATATGATTTGGTATGTTTACAGCTACACAACAATTGACTTGCGGAAAAATAAATGCCAAATACTGCCAGTCACGGTCGAATATAGTTCTTGCGTTGTTTGCCGGTAATGGATGATAAGCAAATCAAAGCGCACTCACGGTAAAATGGCATTAGTAGGTACTAAGCCGCTCATGGCAAAATATCCACTGTTTATTTTAAAACATTAAATTAAACTTTACCTGACATGAAGATAATGAAGAACATACAAATGGAATAAACTGAGGAACAAAATTAGAATATGAAAAAAATATGACCACTTGGAATGAATAATTTCTCTCTAAAAACTAAGAAATAACCCTGTGTTTATGAGAGTTCCATACCCTTTACCTAAACAAAACTGGAACTTTGGCAAAATTATTTAACCAAATGAAGCAAGTTAAGCAGTTTTACCTAATTTAGGTTTGGTTTAGGATTCCTCAAGTTATTTTGAGAATGTTATGAATCCTGAGAGTAAAGAGTTTTTCATATTTTAAGTGCATTAAAATTTAGATGATATTATGTCGGGTTAACTAAGCTTAGATTTAAGTTTGGTAATGCTAGGATTGTTTGTTTAGTGTATAGATGTAAATTTGTTGGGGCTGGGCAAGTTTAGGTTTGTATGGTAAGTAGTCAGATCTGACTTACGACCATCCGGATATACGACTCCCGCAGTCGTATAAAATAATTTTCAAATTGCGTATTTTCGAGTCCCAACATTAGTGATCGCGCTGTGTACTGAAAATTTTTTCGGTTGTAATTCCCATTAAAATGACTGGCAAGCGGAAAAGTGAGAGTTCTCGTGGTGCTGAGAAGAAAAAGAGACACCCATTTTAGATTTTCTATGTATTATTTTTGCCTTTTCGACTTACGACCTGGTTGTCGGTCCGGAACCCCGTCGTAAGTCGAGGAGAGACTGTACATACAAAGTACTGTATACCGTTAATAAAATTAACAAAACATAAAATATAAACTAAATAAAGCTAAATAAAGCACTGTGTGTTATACTGTACAATAATAAATGATAAACAATAGAGTACTGTATTTTAACTTACTTTGAGGTGTGTATGTCGTATTCTCGGCAGCTTTGTTTACATATCAAACAGCTGATTGTAGAGGCAGTCAATGATGACATTGCCATATTCTTTACAGAGTGCATTGATTCTAATGCCTTCGTATTTCTTAATTATTTCTGCACTGTATACTGTATTATCAATATACTGTATTAACTAAATTTCAGAATGACCAATAACTTTAATATAAAAAATGCAAAAATATTCAAGAGCACAACTTTCTTGATATTTAATCCACTGGAAACATGTAAACATAAAACCGATTACTGTATTGGCGGACTAGCCGATCAGATTGATCAGCTGATGCGCACATCAAAGCGTGTTTCTCGTAAGGCTGTTGATAATAGAAGTTGTACTCATTAATGGAACTGAAAATCCTTATGGGAGCTAATTCGTTAACTGACATCTCGTAAATTGAACCGCTCGTTAATGGAGACCACTGTATTAAGGAAGTTATAACGATGCTTAAAACGTTGAAATCATCCTCGGCTGGCCGGAAAGGGCTCATTCTTTGATCCTTCACCCTCTGCTGCCTTTAAGCCATCAAACAAGGATCTGGCCTTATTCTGGATAACCATAAGGCTCACAGGGACATTGTGTTGATTCTGGTCCTCCATCCACATAGCCAACAATTTTTCCATCTTTTAAGTAACTGAACTTCGAGTACGACTTGTCTTTGTTGCACTCAGAGAAGGACCACTTCCAGCACTAGCCGTAATCTTGTCTGTGTTGGTCCGGATAGCACTGTTGTGGGGGTTAGACCTAAGGAAGCAGCAATGTCCACCGCACGTTCACCTTTCTCAAAACGGGTTAATGCATCCATTTTTGTAACAAGGCTAATGGTCTTACGTTGCTGCTTCATAACACTAGCATCAGTAGCACTTAATGGGCACTTGGAAGCCATTTCGAATGGTTAGAGTACAGTATTAGGAGCAAAAGCACTTAAAGATACACGAATGCTGTGGAAGCCTACAAAAGACTGGCGATGCTTGGGGACGCTGTGTGACGCTCTGCGAGTGAGAGCAGCATAGCGCACCAAAAATGTGCCGTACAATGCAATCCGTGACGACATTATACTGAATCGGCGGGACGTTATCCGAATCATGGATATCTAAAGAATAGAGACGTTATAAAGAAACAACATTGTCGGGGAGCAACGTTAAACAAGGACTTACTGTATCTACTTTTAATACAGTAAATGCTACAACCAATAGTGTTCATAATACAGTTGGATACAGTAGCATCAAAATATATATCTTCCAAAATTTGAATTTAAGATGTCAAACACTTCGTCAATGCATTTTTTTTTATTATCATAGCAATTTTTCTTCATTTGTGATGTATGCATTTTTAAATTTGTTTAAAGTAGGCTAGCCTTGTGCTCACTAAATTGTTTAACTCTAAGCCACATGTTAAAGAACTATCCATTAAATATGGCTTTTGAGTGTAAGTTTGAAGCAATAAAAATTGTTTTTTGAAAACTGTTAGCAAATTTTGTTATGTTTTTAATGCTTATTCCAGAAATCTGTGCTTTTCGGAAATTCGGCCACGGTGGGATACCAGTTAGCACGAATTTGCAAGGCCAACCTGTAGCTCTTGAGTATACGGTACAGTTGTTTATGAAACCAGGTTTTATTTTTATTCTTAGAAGAAATTCTGATGTGGCTATACAGTACTGTATTACTGCTGATAAAAATATTGTAACTTTTGGGTTATTTTCCCAATTGCAGCTGTATCAATAAATTAACAATGCACAGTACAGGTATCCCTTGTACAGTACACTTGTACAGTACAGTACTTTTTTAAAATTTTGAATTTTTTATCGAAACCTTGTGATCATAATAACAATTATCCTCCATTACATTTTATGATTTGAGTTACCAGGTACAGTATTAGTTTCTGAATATGATATCCTAACATTAGAAGAGTGTACTGATGACATGAAGTAAAAAATGCTTTACAGTAGGTTGAGGGATAACTGTGATATCCCTGAGAACCAAATACTGTACTGTAGTTTTGCATTGATTTAAAGGCAACCCACTTAATGGAAATTTGCATTAATGGCAAAAATTGAAAAAAAAAATATTTAATTGCATTTACCAGCACACGGCACAAAATTGAAATTGGCAGGCAAGTACAGTACGTATTTGACAATTTCCGAATTTATTCATTATCTGTTCAGTTTTTGCACTTGGTCATGCCTTGGCTGCTACAAAATAATCTACTGTGCTTATAATTACTGTGAAAATATAAATATTTAAAAAAAATGTAAATACAGGGTGCCCCCCCAAGTTCGCGGATTTTTATTTTGCGGTCCTTTATTATTCACGGATGACACCCTGGATGTACCCAAGAATGTCTGTGGGTAGTTTTAAAGTTGCCAGCATTTTCTCGGCTGGGACAGGGAGCCATTCGTTCTAGAGACAGTAAATTCCTTTACTGTACCTGTATTGTAAATATGTGTGTTTGTGTCTACTTCCTTTACCTGTATTGTAAATACTTGTGTGTGTGTGTACACACCGACACACATATATACAATGCAGGTAAAAGAAATAATTGTCTTCAGGGTAAACACATAAGGAGAATATACATTTCTTCGTACATAAGTAAAATACCAATGTTATTTATTCGCGGATTTGGTTATTCGCGGCCATTTTGAGAACCTAACCCCCACGAATTTGGGGGGCCCCTGTACAGTAATATTAAAGTAAATAATACAGTAATAAATAAATGTAACACTGCGAGGTGAGCTGACGGGGTGAGGGGTGGAGTGACATGACAGGCACTTACTCTGCACACATTGACAGTACTATAGTGCATAGATGAGAAAAAATGCCCCGCCCCCTCCTCAAGAGTTACAGGTGGTTGGCTGTTGCAAACCTGTCCGATTATGTCCTGAAGTAGTGATGTACAGTATTTCTAAACAAATTTTTTCATAATCGTTGGGATGACCATTTCTGACGAGAAATATTTAGCTAAATTATATAAAGACACATATCTTCATTATTTGAAACATAAGCACGTAGGAAGTTTATCAAAAGTATTATACTTGAATTAACTGATAAACTCGGATAGCAAATTCATGCTTTCGGAGGATGCATTTAATATACAGTAAGTCCTCGACTTATGATGGGGTTAGAGAATGACGACCAGGTCGTAAGTCGAATTGGTCGGAAGTCAAAAATGCGAAAATAATACTTAGAAAATCTAAAATGGGTGTCTCTTTCTTCTCAGCACCACGAGAGCTCTTACTTATACGTTTGCCATCCATTTTAAAGGGGATTAAAAAAAAATTTGTCAGTACACAGCGCAATCACTAACGTTTGGACTCAAAAATACGTAATTTGGAAAATAATTTATACGACTGCGGCGGTCGTATGTCCAGGTGGTCGTAAGTCAAGGAGTACCTGTATACTTATTTTTACCCACAATAAGGCATACTAAGACAAATTACATATCACTAATAGTACATTATGCAAAAACTACATTTTAAAAGATCAGAATCACATTGAATTATTACACGACCGTCAGCAGAGGCTGGAAATATGACTACGAACTACTTCATATTTTTCCCGCTTCTGCTAACGGTCGTGTAATATTTTAATGTGATTCTGATCTTTAAAAATCTTGTTTTTGTATAATGTAGTATTACTGATATGTAATTTGTCTTAGTATGTCTTATTGTGGGTAAAAATAAGTACAGTATACTGTATATTAAATGCATCCTCCGAAAATTTCTCGTGTTGTTTCTGACAGTTATTTATAAGAGCCTATATAGTAGTGTACTACATACAATTGGTGGTAATCCAAAACAAGAAGAGTCTTCACCACAAGTTTTGTTGTCTGAGTCAATGTGACAGATAAACAGTGTGTGCACATGAGTGATTGTTGTGGTCATTTATAAGTGGGTGAAGCAGTCAGTATGTTAAGTGCTTTTGTTAGATTTAATAGAAAGCAAGTAGGTAAAGAAGTGTAAGAAGAAACAACTACAATCCTTCAGTACTGTACAGTATTAACAACAGGGAACCAGTCTATCTTGGGGTTTCTTCAGTTTTATGTCTGACACCACAAACATATTTGTGGGAAACCTTTGAATAATTACCTAATGTAGAAAAATTTTTGATCTCTTGTGTATGTTTGTTAATCTCTGTTAGGCTGACTTTATAAAGCAAGGTATTATTAAATGACTAAAATTGAGACATACCATATAGTTCCTCATAAACACTGACTGTGATCTACTTTTCACAGACTCAAATTCTCATTCTCATTTTTTTTGTGGGATATTAAATTCCAATAATTACATTCTAAGTTTGATTTTGAGTAGTGGCATCTTGCCTTATAGAGTAACTTTAATGTTGACACAGAAGTACAGTATGGGAAATTGATTAGTACAGGTATGTGTATTAAATGTCTTATTACAGTATACTTTTTCTGCTGTGTGGTCCTTGGTACACAAGGGTGAAGGAAATGAATAGGAAAAATAATTCTGTGGCATTTGTTGGAAGTGTTCCAGACAGTGCAGTATTTATAATTGTTATTAAAGAATATGCAAGTTCTCTACTATAATTCTCATGTGGCATTCCCACAAACTGTCTGGAATATGTTGATGTGAAAATGAGTAGCTATAGTATATACCAGGTATGCCTTTTTGTCCTTTTATCACTGTGGAGCTGTTTATGGACAACTGGATTCTTAATAAGACTGTTTTGTGTAGCTCACTCACATTCATGGTTCAATGACCCCCAGCTGCTCTCACAAGTCCTTCCACATGTCTCTGTCCTATGCAGTTACTACCCACTTTTACCATTCATGCCAAACAAGACGGCATCCTTCTGATGTTAACCAACCACCACTTTCTAGGCCTTCTTCGGTGTGAATCACCAAGGCTGGCGACTCTGGAAACTGGATTGTTGTAATAAAATTTAGAGACCTGACACCTCAGTCATTGCCCAGTCCTGTCGATGTCCATGTTAACAGTAGAGAGCTCTGTGGTACAGAGAATTTTATAAGGTTAATTCATGATTTTGCTACAATGCATCAGTTTAGTAAACCCCACAGGTGGAGTGTGTGTTGTGAGAAGCACTTAGAGGAACTTTATACTTCTTTCCTTTTGACAGTGTGCTCCTGTTACATGACTTGCCCAGAACTTGTACAGTATCAGGTTATAAATGAAGGAGTGACTCGGAGAATTCATCATAAAACTGAGTCAGTCAGCTGTGACTGAATCCCACCCATCTCCCTCGGATATTCTAGGTGTGAGAGTCACTCCTACAGGCTTGGTTATAAGCTATCATTATCATGCCTTCATATTTTTGTCACCACCCTTTAAATATTCAGATATTTTTACACCTTATTGTCTAGTAAGCTTTAAAAGAAACTGGCATCTTCTATATTTATGTAGTAGATTAAGTATTATAAATACTGTACTGTAATTTATGTTTTCATGTAAGAATCATATGCAAATTATTTTGTTTCTTCCAGCTGTAAAGTGCAAGGTTTCCCCCAAAGGAGTGCAGAGTAAAATAAAAAAGATGTCAGAAACTGCTCTGAAGTTTGGCCCCGAGTGGCTGCGAGTTCTCTCTGATGGTGGTAGTGTGTCCTCCCCTCCTCCCAGTCCTGGTCTTAACAAGTTTAAGGTCAGTAGCACTTACCACACCAAATTAAAAAAGATATATTTATATACCAGAACAGATGACAACACACTATAATTTATTCCTTATGCCAGTAAATGAATATACAGTATACTGTAGCTATACAGACATTTACAGATTCACTTGCCATGAAATGTGGGATCATACATTATTTATTTATGTGTATGAAGTTAATGATATATAAGTTAATAATGGGTACTAATGAAACAAAAACAGGTAACAAGGTGATATTTAAATGTGCAAAGCTGTAATCAGAGTACTGTAATAAGGAACTTATGAATAGTATCTCTTATATTTCACATGACTTAAACATGTGTGGATGTTGTATTCAGTGAACAATTTCTCTCCTACATCTCAAATTGGTTACCGTACGCTTTGGCTACATGTGTAAAGGTAGTCTATAATCATGAAGAACCTCAGTTAATTACTAACTGGGTATGTTGATTATGTGTACTCTTATGAGACACTAATGAGTCAATTGGTGTGGCCAACTGGCCATGTGCCTTACATGGTAACAACAGGTGACCATATTCTTAAATTTACTGTCTGATGATACTTATAAGATGGTTATGTGTTCTATTTTTACTACAACTGAGTTTATGATTGTGAGATGTGGAAGTACTGTCAGTGGCAAGCACAACACACTGATAATAATTTTGCCCCGTTGGCAAGTATTGAGAGACCTTGTGTTTCCACTTATGATTCCATCTTGCAGGTTTCCACTCAGTGTCTTTAATCATACTGTGTCTATTGATTTTAGAAGTTGACTTGACTCAAAAAGATAGGGCATCTACTATACCTTTCATTATATTCCCCCTTCCTTCACTAATTTTTAGTATTTTAGTACCTGTATATCAAATCTTTTCTTAAAATAATAGTTCTATTTTTTCATCTAGACTAACCATACTATTTGTATGTGTGTGTTTGCATAATTTCAAGTCTTTGAGTTCTTCAGTAACACACATTTTTTGTAATTTGGCTTACAGCCGGCAGAGCATCGATACGGTCGTGAAGAGATGCTGGTACTCTTCAACAAGCACCAGAGTCCACCGGATGGGATACACACATTTGGGCATCCTTATGTGGAAAAGGCTCAGGAACCGCTGGCTCTAATACCCATGAATGAAGAAGAACAGGTATGAAACAGTAAAAGAATTATGGGATTATGTATATTGTATGTAATATTGATGCTATTTTTTCAAAACTTTAGCTCTTTAATGCGCAGAATGAAGAGTAAAAAAAAGACATTTACTTAAAATTTTCAGCTCTGCAGATTGAGGTTTATGTTCACTGTTTCTTTTGTGATATCTGTGTGGTTGTCCAGCGTATGTGGCAGAGGGGAGTAAACAGTGACGCCGTGCTCCGTCAAAGTGGGCGGGCCCAATCGAACGGAGCCGGTAGAGGTCGTGGTGGCAGCGTCGATCGTGGTCGAGGTCGGGGTCGTGGTACGGGTTCATATTACACCCGTGGCCTCAGCTACGATGAAGAAGCGGAGCCACGGGGCCCAAGAGAGGGAGGTCCACCGGGTATTGGTATTAGGTACGCTTCCTATATAAAATGTTTGGAAAAAAAATCATCGTGTATGCATTAACAGGTAGTGTAGATAATGTTTGTAACTAATTCCTTACATATGCAGCATGGATGTTTGACTGTTGTGATTCTCTATCTCTTCTCTCCTTTGTCTCGTGTGCGTGTGTGTGAACATGCTTTATTCAAGTGTACAGGGTACGTATATGGGTAACTAAGAATAATGTACACTGAAATGCATAGATACAAATTATGAGAATGATAGACACAAATAAATATACAGTACAGTACATGAAAAAGTAAGCACAGTAGAACATTTCAGTAGTAAACCAAGTGGTGTGAGTTTACTGTTAAGGAGTGGGAAATTTTCTTCTGTGTGGACTTAACCCCATCATTATGGGGATGCCATTTTTATAATATTTTATTTCCCTAATGTTGGACAATTTTATTCGGCTCAGAGGCGACACCATAAACAAGGGGTTTGTAGACAATCTCTACTAATCCCTTCACTATTGGGATGCCATATTTGATATTTTATTCTGCTCAGGTGAAACTGTACACAAGGTTCAAGGGCACTCGGAATATAATACTTTTTAAAGTAGAGTTAATGCAGTAAACCCTCACATATACACCAGCCAAATAGCTGATATTAATATAAAGGGATCAACAGATGTAAAATAGAGTGCTGGATGGATGGTTGTACAATACAGTACAGTTCGTGAACAGCCTACATTTTCTACTGTACATTATTGTAGGTTTTAGTTATGAAGTGGCTGGGTCAGTTACAGTGTTATTTTTCCTGAATCGGTACTCTAGCCTTGACTATGTAACCTTTTGAATTAATCCTTTTTGGTGGCACTGTTCTAGGCTTGTTTTACAATATCTCGACAGTAATTGGGTTCTTTACAGTCACTATTATTTATGCAAATTTCCAGTAAATTACAGTATGTTCAAAATTTCCACTAGAAAACGGTAAAACTCATTCAAGACTCCGCAAGATTATCTGCCAGTGCAGGGAACTTTAAAGGTAACAAAAGGTCTCTCTCCCACACAAGCCAATCAACAAGAGCACCTCATAACAAAACACATTCACTTAACATGAGTCAGTCATCCATGAACTCAGAAGAGTACATACTTGATGCATGGTCAGTTATATTGAAAACCTGGATACTAATGGGAGGGTTCTGCTAAATGGAGTGTGCTTATGAGATATTTTACTGTGTTTATTTATTTCATGTTATGTGGCAAAGTAATATGAAAACTTGTATATTACTTTATGAATAATTTAATGATGATTGTGTAGACTGTAGAAGAATATGGATGTGGAGTGAATTGAAAACAGAAAGGAAGTATATTTGAATACAGTACTTTGGCTTTTGTTAAAAATGTATCTTGCACTGAATATAAACTGGACGTACTGTATATATGTTTTTACAACAACTTGACTTCAAAATAACCTCCCAGTTTATTTCTACAGGAGTAAGCCATTTGAAAGGTCCCAAAGTGTGCATGAACAACGACCTTGGAGTGAACGAGGTCCTGCAAGCACAGTCAGTACGGGTGGCGTCCCAGAAGAACGTAATGGAGCAGTGTCCCCACGGAAGGAGCAGGGGAGGGCTTCTACTGAAAATTGGAGGTCACGAGGTGGTGAAAATGATGAAAGTGAGCGCTGGAGGGGAGCTGGGGGAAGCCGCAATGAAAAATGGGGTGAGTCAAGAAACACTACCATAAAGTGGGAAGATTGTTATACTTATACGTACTTGTTTCTAGCAGAAGAAACAATATTTTTGCTGTTCTTAAAAAAATGAGCCTATAGGCATTTGGTGAGCTCTGCTTACTGTTTGCATATTGGCTGGTCTGTACAAGGACACTTAATCATTCCATTCCCCCAACCATAAAGTGGTATTTCATATCTCAGTCCTCTGTTTGTATGTATGCCAATGTGTAATTATATATTACCAGTATCTTATATGCCACTGTACAGTATTTCAAAAAAGTATCTGCCAGGATGGGTCCGCTGACTTCCAAAATGCTACATGCAACTCATGATGTCCCGGGAGGTTGGTATGCGTGGCTCTGTGGCATACTGATCCTACTACATTTGGTGACTGAACATCATATTAATTTTGGCATTAATTTTGCCAAAATAAATACACATTGCATTACTGATGTTAAACTATGTACCAAAGTAAATGCATGTCCCAATATCTATCATCTGTGGTCTCGTAATGTTTCACAGTGTGGACAGATACAGTTTTGAGATACTGTACATTCACAGGTGTTTAAATGTTGGAGTGATAGGCAATATGAAAAACACTTCCAGTGTTTATACAACATGCAGTAATTTGAATCATCAGTTAAGAAATAGTATGGAGAGTGAAAGTACCAATGGTATATACAGTGGCGTACTTAAGTATCTTTGTTATAATAATAAACTATTCATCATTATTTAAGGCCATGAGAAGTTTCCAAATGTTCGTATTTTTTTTTTTAAATAAAGAAAAAAATTTGATGTGAGAATCTTGTGGCAGCTGTGGTTGTAGTTGAGTTGCCAATTCATTAATATAATTTTCTTCATTATTCAAGCAAATATACAAAAATGGAGAATCTTTTCATGATCTAAAATAATGATGAATAGTTTATTACTGTATAATAAAAAATGCTACCTTTCGTTTGTTTAATATTTGTCTTGACAATGCTACAGCCAAAAATAGATCCACCAATCACAATCACCTTTACATACAGCCTTCCTTTACCAAGTATTGCCAGGTAAAATTGCGAGCACGAGACCCAGGATGGGGTTGGTGCATCTTTGACTGACTGTATTTTATGCTATTTCCAATAGAATAATAGGGTTGGTATTAACAACGTATAAGGATGGACTTAACTATTTAATAATTAAAACACACAACACTGGTATGACACACGGTAGCACTCCCACGACAGTACTCCCACAGCACACGGCTCAAGGCAGTACTCACAGTTCATGACAGTACTCCCACAGCACACACACACAGCTCACGGCAGGACTACCACTACACACACAGCTCACGGCAGGACTCCCACAGCACACACAGCTCACGGCAGGACTCCCACAGCACACACAGCTCACGGCAGGACTCCCACAGCGCACACAGCTCACGGCAGTACTCCCACAGCTCACGGCAGGACTCCACAGCACAGACAGCTCATGGCAGGACTCCCACACAGCAACACAGCTCATGGCAGGACTCGCAGCCCACACAGCCTATGGCAGGACTCCCACAGCCCACACACAGCCTATGGCAGGACTCCACAGCACACACACAGCTCACGGCAGGACTCACAGCACACACAGCTCACGGCAGGACTCCACAGTACACACAGCCACCGCAGGACTCCACAGCACACACAGCTTATGGCAGGACTCCAAGAGCACACATAGCCTGGCGGCAGGACCCACACGGTCACGGGCTTTACTCCTACAGCACACACAGCTCAGGGCAGGACTACACAGCATTAACGGCTCACAGCAGTACTCCCCACAGCACACGGGTCATCACGTGCAGGACCACACAGCACACCGGCCTCATGGCAGCACTCCCCACAGCACATGGCCCAGCAGCACCCCACAGCACACCAAGGCCCACAGCAGTACCCCACAGCACACACAGCTCACGGCAGGACTCCACAGCAGCACCCCTACAGCACACATGGCCCCACAGCAGTACTCCCACAGCACACTGCTCACAGCAGCACTCCCACAGCACGCAGCCCACAGGACTCCACAGCACACACAGCATCCACACACCACACAGTACTCCTACAGCATTGCTGGCCCACAGCAGTACTCCCACAGCACAAGGCCTGGGCCAGCAGTACTCCTACAGCACACACACAGCCCAGGGCAGGACCACAGCACAGCTCACGGCAGGACTCCCACAGCACACACAGCTCATGGGACGGACTCCCACAGCACACACAGCTCATGGGACGGACTCCCACAGCACACACAGCTCATGGGACGGACTCCCACAGCACACACAGCTCACGGCAGGACTCCCACAGCACACACACAGCTCACGGCAGGACTCCCACAGCACGCACACAGCTCACGGCAGGACTCCAGCAGCACACACACACACACACAGCTCATGGCAGGACTTCCACAGCACACACAGCTCACGGCAGGAGTCCCACAGCAAACACACTGCTCACCGCAGGACCCCACAGCACACACAGCTTATGTGCAGGACTCCGTGAGCACACACAGCCTGCGGCAGACCTCACACGGGTCACTGCTTACTCCCACAGCACACAGCTCAGGGCAGGACTACACAGCACACGGCTCACAGCAGTACTCCCACAGCACACGGTCACGCAGGATTCACACAGTACACGTGCTCACAGCCGACTCCAACAGCACACAGCTCAGGGCAGGACTACACAGCACACGGCTCACAGCAGTACTCCCACAGCACACGGGTCACGTGCAGGACTTCCACAGCACACGCTCACGGCAGTACTTATAGCACACGGGTCACGCAGGACTACAGTACACGTGCTCACGGCAGGACTCCACACGGCTCACAGCAGTACTCCTACAGCACGGGCTCACAGCAGTACTCCAACAGCACACACAGCTCACGGCAGGACTCCACAGCACACGGCAGTACTCCTATAGCACACGGGGTCACGGGGCAGGACCACACAGCACACGGCTCACGTGCAGACTCCACAGCACACGCTCCTGCCAGCAGCACTCCTACAGCACATGGCTCACAGCAGTACTCCAACAGCACACACAGCTCACGTGCAGGACTCCACAGCACACGGCTCACGGCAGGACTCCACAGCACGGGCTCACAGCAGTACTCCTACAGCACACGGCTCACGGCAGGACTCCACAGCACACGGCTACTCCTACAGCACACGGCTCACGGCAGGACTCCACAGCACACGGCTCACAGCAGTACTCCTACAGCACATGGCTCACAGCAGTACTCCTACAGCACACGGCTCACAGCAGTACTCCTACAGCACACATACAGCTCAGGGCAGGACTACACAGCACAGCTCACGGCAGGACTTCCAGAGCACACACAGCTCACGGCAGGACTTCCAGAGCACACACAGCTCACGGCAGGACTTCCAGAGCACACACAGCTCACGGCAGGACTTCCAGAGCACACACAGCTCAAGGCAGGACTTCCAGAGTGCACACAGCTCACGGCAGGACTTCCAGAGTACACACAGCTCACAGCAGGACTTCCAGAGTACACACAGCTCACGGCCCATAGCACACACAGGTCATGGCAGCAAGTGTTGACCGGGCCAGCCAGGAGTCCGACTGCTGGAGTGATGGTTCGCGGCTGCTAGCTCACCTCAGTCGCATCACCTCGCAGTCCCGTCTAATTGGCCAGTCCCGTTATGCCTCACTGTGACGTTGATTGACGTCAGTAATTGCTTCTTGAACCAGCCAACGAGTCCTTAGCCAGCTGGTCCATAGTCATGGCATGCCACTGTACGTGTTCCCAATTGGCTCTCTGACTTACCCAAGGAACAGAGGAGAGGGGGAATACAATGCAATACATAAAACATTTCAGTGATACATATATGGCTCTTAGCAGGTAATGGTACGGAGTTCCTCATATCTCTTCGGGAGTTTTGAGGAAATGAGTCAAAGGCAGTGTACTATATCTGTAAAGAGCAGTGTGACGTTTAACCCCTACTTGGTGCGTTTAACCAGTGCTTTGTAACATTATTTGTATGTTTGACCTATTAGTTTAAGATTAAGTGGTATTCTTTGATATCCATTATGTAGGACCGCGATGTGGATGGCGTGAACGTGAGAATGGCCAGGATGGGGATTGGGATGATGGATTGGGACGAGGGACTGGCCGGGGGGTCCCTGTCTCGTCCCGTACCTCTCGCCCACCCTGGGATGAAAAAGATGGCAATCTGCGAAAGTCTTGGGATGAAGATAATTTACCAGAGTGGTAAGTAACCAATACTGTATAATATTCTGGTAGCACTATGGAAGTTGTACATGAGTCTGTTCTTTTTAAATTTGGTGTCTACTGAAGAGTGCTTGTTATAATGACAGATAATGATGTCATAAATGGCATAATAGAAATTGCAGCAGGTGGGTTTATTATGATTTGTTTGTAAAAAGATTATAGAAGTTACTGCTCAATGTGCATAAGTTGTTCTGTAGATTTACATATAATATGCCATATGTGTCAGGTAAAAGAAAGATAATTTTTGTCACATGATATTTTGACATATGAAATGAGGATGATGAGTTGGATGTATAAGGTGTTGATGAGAGATAGAAACACTGTTCAGAGCTAAGAGGAGAGCTGGGTATTGAGAGTACAGTATTGGTAAGGTAGGCTGAGATAGTTTGGGCATGTGGAAAGACTGGAGGAGACTAATTGGGTCAAGAGATGCATGATTTGAATATGGAAGGGAGGAGAGAGAGGGATGCACTGAAAATTACATGAGAAGAGGTTGTGAGAAATAACCTTGGAGATAAGCTCCTGACAATAGATACTGCAAGAGACCATGCAGCTTGGAGAGCTGGCATCAGTTAATCATGGCTAAGGTGAATTTCTAATCTTAGATTTATAAAACCAGTTTATTTACTAATTTTCTATAGAGTTTGGCACCTCTTTGTACAAATGGTACCTATAATTGAAATAAGATGCATATGCCAATATGGCTCCATGTCATTGATTTTTATTATTTTTTTAGATTTAAACCTTTACTCTGTATTATGTGGAGGTATGTGTTCTATATTGATAGGTCTTGTTTTTTCTTCAATTAAACACAAAATTGTATTCAGGAGGAATATATCTTGTTTTCAGGGCTACAGAAAATGCAGATGAAAAGGGTGGAAGCTTTGATGCATCAGGTGCTTATCATGGTCCTGGTTGGTCAGACGAAGATGACCCCACCAATGAAGGTCGTAATGGAGGACAGCGGAGACAGAAGTCATCAAGCCCTGATAAGGTTGCGAGAGATGATCATGTTGTGGTAGAGAATCCTGAGCCTGGTACTAGAGAGCCTGTGGCTGAACCAGAAGAGATTAAAAATAACGGTGTCGAGGTAGAAAATCAACAGGGACAATTGCCATCAAATGTGGTGGATCCCAGTCATGATGTTCACACGCCTGGAAACACTATACGAACTGAGGTTTGTATTTATTTTTGTCCCTCAAACAGTTTTGGCCCAGTTATTGTGTAGGGGTCTTTCTGTCCTTGTACATTATTGTCTCTTAAACTGCCAGTACAACAACCTAGTTTTACCATTTTGGATGAATTAATTTAAATATGTAGACATCATCATAACATTTAAAAGTAAGCATATAATTGTTCAAGGTCACCGGTCAAAGATCAAAGTAACTGGTTGATGGAGTTCATCAAATTACTTTTTCTTTTTATGCACAGACATGAAGGGGTGTAGGATACTGTACTAGAAATTTATTAATTACTAAAGGTATAATTGTTGTCATAAGTCATCTGGTCAAAGGCTTACAAAAGGGATTTTATTCCCTTTAATTGCTTGGACACTTTTAACTATAAAGCTGTGTACAGGATGGGAATTTGGGGTATGACAAAGTTGTTTGTTTCATTATATTTTATTTTTTCCAATTTATGGATAGGGAAGTAATTCATCTTAAAGGGTTTGTATACAGTATTTTTTTTATTTTTATTTTAAAATCACACTCATTAAAGTATTATTAGTAATCATTTTACAGAAAATGTTTTTTAATATTTTAATGAGTCCATGAATATGGTTTAATTGTCATTCATTTGTAGGGATCAGTGACCGAGGAAGTACAAGTACAACCAAGAGAGGAAGTTGCACCAAGTCCTAGTGACAGTACCACCACCACAATGTCTTCGGGGCCAATGATGAATGGTATAGTCAGTGAGGAAGAGAGTAACAGCAGAGAAGTCAAAACACCACAAGAATTCCAGGGAGGACCAGCCCCTGTCCCAGTACCACCACGAAGTAAAGAAGCAGCAGAACCAGGATCCTTCCCCCCTGAAAGAGAACGTCAAGGAGAAGAAGAAAAACTGGAACACATGCGTAGTGTTGCCGATGACTTAGTGGCTAAATTAGTAGAAGAGGATGACCCAAGACCACAATCAGGTCCTCCTAACCCTCGAGTTACACCCCCTGTTTCAATGGGGTCCATGCCAGAATCCACACCACATTCCACTCACCCCACTCACACCCCGGGTGATGACAAGTGGTATTACACAGATCCTCAGGTACGAATAAGCTCATTTCATTGTAATTTAGGTTGTTTAGGTATATTTTTGTTGTTAAGTCATGTTGGCATTTTCTCAAGATAACTTGTGAATGAAGTAAGGTAGAAATTAGGATAAAAAGTAAAGTTTTCAGGTGCTATATTGGATACTCTCGCAGTCTTTAATTTCCCTATCCAAGGAAATGTTACCAGACTAATTTTTCAAATTTTTAGCTTGTTGTGACTGAAGTGTTCATTTTTTTTATATACTGGGATTAGCCCACCCGGGCACAGGTCACTGACCCACATCAGGGCCTGGGGGTAAAAAATTTAATAATAATCATAATAAAAATAAATAATAATAATAAAGAACCATAAAGAAATACAAAAATGAAAAAAAAGATCAAAAGTGAGAAACAATATATGTATGTTGTGTTGTCAATAGTAAGTGTGGGCTTAAGCTGTAAAGTTTGAGATGTAGTAATGATGGTCATTGTTGTTAGTGTTAAAGAAGGGTAACCTTTTGTGTCAGTCATATTTTCTAACTGAACTCAATTCATTTTATGCAAAATATCAGTTTGGATAGCAGACTTATTATGTTGTCTGCAGATAACACTTTGGGATTATTTGCATTTCACATTTAGCATAAGTCCTGTGCATGGAAGAACTTATCTACCAGAAGCTAGTAGTGCATGCTGTTCCTGAGTTTTGGAAAGAAGCTAGATTTTTCATTGCCATTTTTTTTTCTCGTGTAATAATTTTATGGTGAATGGAGTGGTTATTTTCCATAAATTTTTCCACTGTAAAACTTATTTATATAAGAAAGGAAAACATTAATTGTGTATAATTGAAGTTCTTAGCCACCTGTGAACTCATGTAATGTGATGCCTATAGAGGAGTCTTACAGAGCTTGACAGTAAACACACTGTACAGTATTGTATTTTGGACATGTATGACTGTTGTCACCTTACAAATACAAAGATTATGTCTGTATGGGCTAGTTATTGAATACAGTATATTAAATGATCATTTTGCTTGGGGGCCATCCACTTTTGAGAATCTCAAGACTTGATGTTTTGAAAGGTTTCATTGAGCACCTCTCCCTGTTAGAAAATAGCATATTAGAAGGTAGTTCTATTTTAAAGCTCTAGGTGAATTATTGACATTTAAATTAATTAATTTTTATTAGGGAGAGATACAAGGTCCTTTCACGTCAAGTGACATGGCCGAGTGGTACAAGGCTGGATACTTCACACCCAACCTGCTGCTTAGACGGGATTGTGATGACCAGTTTGCACAACTGGGAGACCTCACCAGAGTATTTGGAAGAGTGCCATTTGTACCAGGACCCCCTGTACCACCAATCAAGGTATTTTCTTGTTCTTATATGATATATGAACCAACTCTTCCAAACCTAACCTAAGCCATCATACATAACCTAAGTCATCATACTCAACCTAAGCCATCATACCTAACCTAAGGCATCATACCTAACCTAAGGCATCATACCTAACCTAAGGCATCATACTTAACCTAAGCCATCATACCTAACCTAAGCCATCATACCTAACCTAAGGCATCATACCTAAGCTGTCATACCCAACCTAACCTGTCATTGCTAATCTAACTTAGCTAACCCCTTTTACCCAGTCTAATGTGTATTTCCTAATTTTATATAACCTAATCTTATCTTCCTTAACCTAACCAAGAATAAGTTGGTGAATAACTGCAGCATCTGGGAAATATACACATTCATTAGTTTGATTCAAATGCGATTCACTGCTTGTTTTGGTGAATATTTGTGGTTGTTATAATATAGTATTCTGATTGTTATGTACACCATTGAACCTTCAGTAATTTTTTGTTTTTATTTCAGGTGACTGAATTATTAACAGCACAAAAGCAGCAAGTTGAACGTGAAAGATTAGAGTTGTTGCAAAATTTTATGATTCAGAAGCAAGTTTATCATCATCAGATGGCCATGGGGTTAGTAGTGCACTGGAAGGACTTAATTTTCACCGCTGATTGTGGTTTTGTTAATTTTTATTAGAATTTTATCGAGATGTTTTGTAGTTCTGGGACTAACAGTTTGCCTCATCATTTACACTTCAGGTTTTGTTTGGTGCTCTTATTCACTATACAGTACTGTACTCTTTCTGAACAGTGTTCCTATTTCTATACTGGGGAATTCTCTTAGGGATACACAAATGCCTATTAAATTTTGGATCAAGCAGAAGAAAATGATTTGTGTATGATAAATAAGATATATGTAATATTTGTGGTGGAAAGTTAAATGGCACTGTTGCCTGTCTAAGGTGTCTGGAGTACTGCAGTAGTCATGTTAAGTATATATGAAACTTTAATTATAGCATGAGTGCCATATATAGGTGCAAAGTTCTTTGAGGGATTTCATAGCTATTATGGGCATTTTGTGAATGTTCGAGCTGTAAGACTCAAGATTTCTAGCATCTTGGATAACTGTTGCCCCTGCTGTGTTTGTTAAAATATCTCCACAACCATAGTGTGATCTCTGGGGAGCAAGTCCAACACTTTCCCTCAGAAGGATACTAGTCTATAGAGAGCTTGTGATTAGTGTGTTGAATAAGTAATACCCTTATTAAACTTTAGCTGTTTAAGACCAGAATTTATGATGGGGAAAAAAAGAATAACGATAATTTAAGCTGTGATAAGCTTTCTTTCTTTTTTTTTTTTAAATGGTAATAGAATTGGTTTTCTTTCAGCCGGCAGCAAGTGTTACAAAAACTTCAGAGTCTTGATGAGTGGAGCTCCCTTAACCCCATGCAGCAACAGCAGCTGTTTATGCAGCATATGATGGCTGTAATTCCTGCCCACCCACCTATAACCCAAACAGTGCCTCCCTCCACTGCCCCACCAACTGCCATACCCTCGACCACCCAAGTGTCTGCACCCATTCCTGACCCCAGAGTTGTGGCTGGGCCTGACCCTCGAGTTTTGCCTGGGCCAGTAGTACCACCATCTTCTAAACCTCAGGACCCCATACAAGCACTAGTAGCACAAATGGTAAGTAAGTTTAATTTTTCTTAAATTTAATAGTAAATGTTACATTTGATAAATAACATAATTTTAGTGCAAACATTGTGTAGTCTTCCTTACTTGTATGTTCCCTTATGTAATCCTTTCTTGTTATTCATATATATATATAAAATGCTTATAAACTTCTCTAGTAGCAAGATTTTTGTCTTCTAAGAATGTGAATGAAATCTGGATTTGTTTGTTAACAAGAGGTAATGATTTGTTTTTGTATTAAGGTTCATTTTGAGGGTTCCAGCATTAGTGTTGCTGCCTGTAGCTGGAAGAGAATTAAGATTGTCAGTACACAGTATTTAGAAAAGGATTACAGATAATAAAGAAATGAATTATAAAATTGCAGCAAACGTCCTCTGCTGCTAGTAGTACTCCCATGACCAGCTCTTGTGAGGGGCTGTTGACCTCTCAGCTCACTGCAACATCTATGGCTGCAGAGAATCCTTTACAAAAGTTGTTAGTTCAACTACAGAGGGGTCAACAGCCAAGTGGTATGGGACCAATGGGAGGGCCAGCAGGAGCCCTGGGAGCAGCAGTAACACCACCAACTGTACCCACAATGGAGAAACCTCCTGAACAACAGTTTGATGCCATCCAGTCTCTTATGCAACAGTTATCAAAGATGCAGACACCACCGACATCAGATCAAATGCAGGTAATTTTATTGAGAATTCATTCATATTCAACACTGTATTTAAGAGTTCATGATTTACAAGTTTGAAGTAGAGTAAACCCACCCAATAATGGACTTCTCAATAAAGAAAAGTGTATTTCCAAAAACGGCTGGCCTTTTTTCTGGATATTAAGGAACATTGTCCATTATTGACTAGTCTCAGCGCAGCTGTCGACAAAGTCTACAGGACAATGTGTGTCACAACACACTGAGCTTATATAAGTGTTAAACACTAATATTTCCTCTAAGCTGTATTAATACATTTTATAAAATATTATTTTCAATTCATACCCTTAATATAAATCAGTCCAATGGATTGTTTGTTCATCTTTAACAGTAGCATACTTGCATGTAGGCACACTGGCCCACTTCAGTTAAACCAAATCTTTCTCTAAGTACATTTTATTAAAATATTACTAAATATTTCATAGATAATTATGGTACACTAGAACCTCACTAATTTTAAGTACCATACTGGTTAATTCATACATTTTTCACCTGGGTGAAATTTAAAAAAATTCTATCAGTCTTCAGCCATTTGTATGAATTATTTGAAGTTCCTACGAAATTTACCCACACAGTCCAAGTGATCAGCAGGTTGGAACGGACAGTTTCCCTTTGTGTGGGCCTACTAGGGTATCAAATTTTATATTTTGATAATCCCTTATCCGAAATGTTTGGGGCTTTAAGGGTCTCGGATTTGCGATATTTTTGGATTTTGGAATACAGTAAACCTCGATAACTTGGCACATATGGGGCTCTGGCCTTGCCGAGTTATCCCAAATTCCGACTTATCGAGGCACCTCCTCCTCCTACAAAAAAAAAAATAAAAATTTATTGACCCATATATGTAATTATGTAATTATACTAAATGTAAAAAGGTAACACTTACCAGCACTGCAGGCAAAGAATGAAGTATCATAGTAGGTGACACAGATGCATGGAAGGTGACACAGGGGCATGGAAGGTGACACAGACACATGGTAGGTAATACAGGGGGTCAGATATGCCGAGATTTTTTCAGATAATTTTACATATCTCGACATTTCCCAGGTTATACTAATGCATTCCAATACTATATCCATGCAGAGTTATATGAAATTCTGAGTTATCAAATGCCAAGTTATCGAGGGTGTACTGTACCTATATCCTGTATACAAAACCTGTATAATGGGGTAGCGCACCCAGCAGGGATGAGGCTCAAGTCTATGCACAAAATTCATTTATATTTAATTTAGAGCATATGGATACATATATACTGAAGGTAGTTTATGAAATATAATTTAATCATTTTGGGTATAAAATATATGATAAGATGTACACTAAAGACCCAGAAAGGTTAGCAATCACTACTGTCTGTTTGGCATCGCATGACACCTGACTCTTGAGCTGCTGAGCAGCCTGTGTCTTATCTTTATTCATTACACTTACATACTTACGCTCGTAAAAATTGTGATATATGCCATATTCAGTGTGTTATCTACCATATATATATATATATATATATATATATATATATATATATATATATATATATATATATATATATATATATATATATATATATATATATATATATATATATATATATATATATATATATATATATATATATATATATATATATATATATATATATATATATATATATATATACATACAGTAGTACCCCGATTTACGCGGTCAATTGAACCCACAGGGTACCGCGTTAAGTGAAATCCGCGTAAATGGAACAACAGAACATATGGGATTAATTCCAATAGAGACTGGCCCGACCCCCAAACTCCACTTTTTCCGACACAATACCTATGTTGTAGTAAAAATAACATCTAAATTTTATGATGGTATGCTCACACAATTAATATTTAAGAGAAATACAGTCGCCAGGTTAATGTCCATTCAAATAATAGACTCAAATCCCCCCCCCCCTCTTCCCAGCTCACTGGCCCCTACCTCTCTGAGAAATGATTGGGTGAAACACTAGATTTTAACGTTTAGTAATAAATAATACCTTAGACTAAAGTTAGGATAATATAATTGACATTTCTGGATTCCTTGCAGGTCAGGGAATATTTTGAATGTAAACTTAATATATTTTGCACAAAAGATAAAATACTTGCTTTGTGTAAACTAAATTATTACATTAGATCTAAAATTTTTATGTCTAATGCAAAATCCATGATGTTTATATTCAAAATGATCATCAAATTGTGAGAATTCCAGCAATGTAAATTATATTCTGGCCGGGTAATTTGTATGAATTTTATGAGCTAAATAAAAAAAAAATACTTCACGCGTATATGGGTAGATGAACCGCGGAAGTGAAAGTTGTGTATATGAGAAATCCACGTAAAGCGGGGTAATACTGTATGTATATATATATATATATATATATATATATATATATATATATATATATATATATATATATATATATATATATATATATATATATATATATATATATATATATATATATATATATATATATATATATATATATATATATATATATATATATATATATATATATATATATATATATATATATATATATATGTGTATATATATATATATATATATATGTATGTATATATATATGTATATATATATGTATATATATATATATATATATATATATATATGTATATATATATATGTATATATATATATGTATATATATATATGTATATATATATGTATATATATATATATGTATATATTTATATGTATATATATGTATATATATATATATGTATGTATGTATATATATATATGCATATATGTATATATATATATATATATATATATATATATATATATATATATATATATATATATATATATATATATATATATATATATATATATATATATATATATATATATATATACTGTACAGTATATATAATGAAATAGACTCGGGTTTCAGGGCATTTCAGACTTGGGAATTTCTGATAAGGGACACCCAACCTGTACTTTTTATATACTTACAGTACAGTACCTGCTACCAATAGAAATCTTAATCTTTCTTTTTTATCAATGTTAAACCCACTCCATTTCTAGTGATACAATATTTCATTACAGTCTAGCTTATATCTACCAAACTTTTAGAAAAGATTACAATTCTAACTAATATTAACTTGGTAACCATTAGTGCTGGCACAGCACAGTATCGTACAGTATTTTTCCATGATAAAACCAGCCTAGTATAATGGGAGAAAATGTGTGTGTGTGTGTCTTAGCTTGGCAAGAGGGAGCTCTTGCAGGAATGTGTCAGGGTTTTGTAATTTTGCTGTGGTTATTGTTGTCATAGAACCATATCTTGGCCATGACAAGATATCTAAAAATTAAATGAGTAAATCTATTTGGTTTTTCATCATCTTTGATAAAACATGAATATGTGGAGCAATTTTAATCCTGATAGCTGTTTTTCTTTTTCCTGAAATTTTAAGTGCATTGCAATCTTTTTGTAGGAGGAAGTACGCCGACGAGAGGAAGATCAGAAGCGATTAGAAGAAGAGAGAAAGCGACTTGAGGAGCACAAGAGAGCAGAAGAGGAGAGGATAAAGATGGAGGAACTCAGGTAGGAAGTTTTCTGATTTATTGTTGTAATTTAAGTACTGTACAGGTAATCCCTACTTAACACGAGTTTGCACAACACAAAATTTGCATTGTCACAAGGAACCAGCATCACGAGTTTTACACTCATAACATCTGCCTGCCTCCAACAGCTTGCTGCCTTAGTCTCTCTCTGGGTCACACACATCACAGTGATTGTCTATTCTCTGTTTCTTGATTTGTTCTTATTAACCTTTAACATGAAGGCTCAGTGACCAAAAAGTTAACATGAGTGATGATGATAGCAAGAGACAAAGAAAATATATTTTGGTAAAGGTGAAAATGAAAGTGATTGAACGTTGTGAAAAGGGAGAGTGCACTGCTGACATTACAGCTGCACTGGGCCTTCATGAAGCAACCATATGTATGAATAGTGCTAATGCAGTTTTCAACTTATGGTCAACAATATTCTTTGGGTGGTTATTTTACTCTAGTACAGTTCACATTTCTGACAATTTCCAACTTTTTTAACTTAAGGCTGTAACCTCTAGTGTTTCATCTCATGAAGAAGTATTAAATAATTTTAATACTCTGTTTCATTAAACAGTTTGTAAAGGTTTAATAAATGAATATTAGTGAAAACAGTCAATCAGCTGATGAAAACTTAGTTTCACTGCCCTCAATTAATATATCACAAGGAGGTGCATTGCCCACTAGGACAGACCACTAGTGTGCCATTACCTCATTTTTCCTTGACTCTGAAAAACTACTTCCTGGACTGCAGTTATTTAGACTCAAGAATTATCATTTGTTAAAATGCATTTAAAAATGATAGAATCAGTGTTAAGAGAGAAAAGTTGGTTTCTGAAGAATCGTTTATTTACTTTATTCACTGCCTCACTAGTCAGCTCTCTCCAGTACCTACAGTATAGTAGAGATGTTCTGCATACAGTGGCTGGTCTGACATGAATGGAGGAGGTTGTTGGGTGTTAATGAGTGAGTACTGCAGGAATCACATTTTACCAGGGAGTGCTGAATGTTAACTCTGGTGCCCTAAATACTCTGTGGTGCAATGTATCGTACCTTATAACTAAAATAATGGGGTGCTAGAGCACCCTCCCTTCCCACATCCATATACTAGGTGGAGTGAGCCAGCACACACCTGACCACAACAATAACAAACACCAGACTGACCAAACATGGAGTGCAGAGATTATTATCCACATGGCCAAATATGCCGAGATATTCCCTGATAATTTTATATAATTTGGCATTTCCCCAGTTATTTTATAATAAATTCCGAGACCGTATCCATGCCGAATTGCAGTATACTCTCGATTTAACGAAAAGAATTTTTTCCATTATTTTTCACTTGATTTAGTGAACTAGTTCGCTGAATCAAGATTAATTCTGTTAATAGGCTCACACCTATGGAGACATCTCAGACACATGATATGTACATAGAAACATTAGAAACATTATTCATGGCTCACCTTAAACTTGGGGGTTCAGTGTTTGTTTTAAATTTTTTCTATAATGTGCAAACTTTTTTCCAATTGATAGCTGCACTCATTTTATTTTCTCCCCCACACCGCATCCTTTCTCAGAGACTGTCGGCATGATGCCTAAACACAGTAGTTAGTTGACTGAGATGTAGACGGAGAGGTAGCAGTGAAGAACACACGTGGCGACAGCAAGACAGACTGAGCGGATGTAAACACCCCACGCGCCAAGCAGTGCAGTTGGTGCGGAATTTAACGGAATCATGCTTGATTTAGTGAAAAGAGGTTGCTCAAATTAGTTAATAAAATCAAGAAAATAGTGTATATGTACTTCGAGTTACCAAGAGTTTACTATTACAAATATAAAAAGTAAAATTGAAATATGCTTATGAACAGAAATACACTTCCTCACTAAATACAGTACAGTGGTCTAATCAGATTTGCTCTAGGCCTAATGATAGCTACTTAGTACAAACGCTAAGACATTGCTAATGTAAACAGGCTGGGGGTGGGACTGGGTGTCGCTCTCCAGCACCAAATGAACCTAAATTATATGGGAATTATGGTGAAATTGCATAAAGATGTGTTAAAGGGGTCGAAGGAGAGGCAGCCACCCATCCTCGCTACCTCCGGCCTGCATCTCCCAGATACCTTCTGGTTTTCCAGCTTTTTCTTTATTCATAGGCACACGATCACATTGAAATTATTTTTCCTAAAAATTTTTGTGCAGTACATACATAGAACACTTTACAATACAAAACAGCCATATCAGTGAAACAGTTGTTGACAGCCAGATATATGTCTGATTTTCTTGAAACAGTCCAGATAAGCAGGATTATGTCCAGGAACCCCCCCTCCCTCATAGATTTTTCTTTTTTTTTTCTTTTCACTGTTTCCAGACTTGGGTGTGTTCCAGTTAGTCTAGTGTATTGAGGTACTTCTGTACTGTGGTATATCCTATTGCCTTTAGTGTAAGAAAGTTAAATATTTCTTGAATGTTTCATTTCTTAGTGAAGCATTATATACTTTTATTGTGTTTCATTAAAATGTTTTTAAGTTTAATTAATAAAAGCAATCAGTTGAAAGCATAGACTATCCAGCAGCATTTACATGTGGGTGATGACACTATATGTTCTATTGCTCCATGGGTCACTTTGAGTTTGAACAACTGCAGTCCAGGAAGCAGTTGTTCAGACTCAGGGATGATTTATAAGTTATTGAAAAGTGTTTTGAAATAATGGAATTAGTGCTGAAAGCTGATTCGTATTCAAACCATCAGCTGGAGTTGGTGTACTTTTTCCCTTAATGTATTTATTTACATAACCTGGATCAGCTGTTTGATCCCTGGCCTCTTGAAATTAAGTGAAAACTGATGTCCAAATTGCTGTGGGAAGGCAGAGTATCACCACCACCTACTCTTCACCACCAAATTTATTGTATTTTTTTTTTTCAAATTTAAAACAACAGGAGAAAGTTGGTTTTACCATGTTTATAATTTATTCTTTGTGACTCCATAGATTGAAAGAAGAACTTAAGCGGCAAGAAGAACAGAGAAGAAACCTTGAAGCTCTAAGACGCCAGCATGAGGAAGAAACACAGAGGCTGGAGGAAGAGAGGCGGAAGATAAGAGAGGAACAGCTAAGAAGACAGGAAGAAATGAGAAGAATTGATGAGGAGAAGATTAGGAAGGAGGAGGAAGAACAGCGAAAAATCCAGGTATGCATTTGATTGTTAGGTTGATGGTGGAATAAATTATATAGCTATTGGTATTTTTAAAAGGTTATTATTTGGACGCATTGATTTACAAGTTCCATATACAGTATAAGAAATACATCTCAGTCGTGTATCGTTCTCCTTGACAAAATTCAGATTCAGTGTCAGACTCTTGACTCGTAGGTTAAATACACGATTATAAGAATAACACAGCAGTTAGTGTGAAAGGAGGGTCCAGTTTTTTTGTTGATTCCAGTCACCTTGAAGCATAGCAGTAAATTCCTTGTAAGAATGAAAAAAAAGGGGGGGGGGAATAAATACAAGTCAGCTACACAAAGTCTTCCTTAAGATCTACAATGAACACGATAAAAATTTTTAAAATCTTTCTTTGTCTGGTAATCCCAAAATTTTTAATCACTGCATACAGTATATACATTGCACAGGACCAACAAAGAACCGAGATAAAGCGAAGACAGGAAGAACTAATACGGCAGGAGGAGCTCAGGAGACAGCAACAACAACAGCAACAACTTCAGCAACAGCAACAACTCCAGCAGCAACAGAAACAGCAGGAGGAAGCAGCCAAAAGAAAGGAAGAAGCAAGGCGACAAGAGGAAGCCAGAAGACAGCAGGAGGAAGAGAGGAAGAGGCAGGAAGAGGAAAGAAGGTCAGTTGATTTTTATGCATTCACCTATTGTCCATCTCTACCTCACACCTTAGTAATGGAAACTCTTGGAATATTGTCTATGGCTTCTGTTTTGTTTATTATCAGAATCACTGTTATGGCAGCCTAACAGTTTGTTGGGGTCTAAATTTGGTTCTCAGTAAACATTCTCTGACCTATTTCATTTTCTTTATGTATCCCCCAAACCACTCACTACTCACTCACTCTCTCACTCACTCTCTCTCTCTCTCTCTCTCTCTCTCTCTCTCTCTCTCTCTCTCTCTCCATATTTTAAAGTACAGGGTGCAATGAAATTAAAGCATCTTAATGGGCTTTGTGTTCAAAATGTTATCAGAAGTTTCATATATCTGTGTCCCATTTGACTTCCCAAAGTCCAGGACAGCCATGTGATAAGAGAATTTTTTATAAAGGGATATCTTTGCTCACATACAGTGAACCCTCACTTTACGCGGTCAATTGAACCCACGGAGTCCCGCGTAAAGTGAACAACATAACATATGGGATTAATTGAAATAGAGACTGGGCCGACCCCCAAACTCCACTTTTTCCAACACAATACCTATGTTCTAGTAAAAATAACATCTTAATTTTATGATGGTACATGCACACAATTAATATTTAAGAGAAATAGAGAAATACAGTCGCCAAGTTAATGTCCATTCAAATAATGGACTGAACTCCCTCCCCCTTTTCTCACACTCACTGGCTCTTCCCTCTCTGAGAAATGTTTGGGGGAAAACACTAGATTTTAAGGTATAGTCACAAATAATACCTCAAACTAAAGTTAGGATAATATAATTGACATTGCTGGATTCCTTGCAAGACCAGGAATATTTTGAATATACACGTCATATATTTTGCACAAAAGATAACATATTTGCTCTGAGTAAACAAAATACTTGCATTAGATCTAAAATTTGTATGTCTAATGCAAAATCTATGATGCTTATATTCAAAATGATCATCAAATTGTAAGAATTCCAGCAATGTAAATTATATTCTGGCTGGGTAATTTGTATGAATTTTATGAGATAAATAAAAATTTAAACTTCACCCGCGTATATGAGTTGATGCACCGCGTAAAGTGGGAATTCCGGTTCTGGCAGGGTACCGCGTAAATGTAGAAACACGTAAAGTGAAACCGCGTAAAGCGAGGGTTCACTGTATTTAAATAATGCCTGCAATGAAACATATGTGAAATGATAGAATATATTTTTTCTTAATCTGATAACTGTGACATACATTCAAGAATGATAAGCGAAGGAGTGCGACATATGAGTACATTCTGGAATTCAGAGTGTTTTGAATGGTGCATGCGAAAATTTTTATATCGTGTGGGGTCAAGTATGGGATGTTTACACTCGTTAATTTCTTGAGTCTCCCCACGTAGATGTACATTTTCTCTATCCTCTGTTTCAGAAACCTCTGAAATCCCATGTTAATGTTGTATATACATTTAAAATTACTAATGACTGCTTATGTGTTGCTGTAAGATTCATTTAGTGATGTTGAAAGCTTCAACTATATTTACTATAAGTGAAATTGTCAAATAGTCGAGTGTTGGGGTGAGCAATAGAGGATAGAATCTTTTTTCTGCTCCATGAGAGACTGGCGGCCAAACTAAGGTAAGTAATGGACTCGTATTTTATTTCCACATTCATCTACACACTATCTTTTAATCCACAAGTTAAATTGATGTTTGGGAAAAATCAATATATACTGTACTGTACAAGTGATATCCCCATTAGCCGGAACAATTGGTGCAGAGCACTTCCGGGGATGAGAGATTTACAGGTAACCAGATGACTTTCTTAAACCCAGAAAAATTCCTCATCCCTGGATTTTTTTTTTGTTACTGGGTTAAGTTTCTAAGTGTCTAAACTAGACATCTTGCACAAACAGACACTAGCTGACATCCCCAGAATGTTTCTGGGTGCTAGGGAATGTTTTTCAAGAGTCTAAACTGGCGGAGTCTGTCAAAGCAGTTCTAATAAAATTAGAAACTCACTTTCCCTACTAGAATAATCCAGAATACTGTAGTTTATCTAAAAGTTTGGTTAAATAAATATATTTGAAAACTAAAAATCTAAGGTGTATGATACTGGCATGAATAAAGCCGTGTTCCAGCAAAGACTGGTATTTTCCACTACCATGGAGCTGTGGGGGATTAGTGGGTCTCATGTAACTGACCTGACCTGATGCAATGTCGGGTGGGGGATTATTGGTCTCATATTACTGACCTTCTGATGGAATATCAGGTCACCCATTGTTGGGTGGGGGATTAGTGGGTCTCATGACTTGAAGATGTCTTGAATAAAGATGAAAGCTAAAGTATTTTTAGGGAGATTGTGATAAGTATAAGTATAAATGAGCAACGTTGTATCCCTTCAACATTACATTACATAACATTTTAAAATATGGAGTGAGAAAGCACAATGGAGTGGGTGATTAGAAAGAGTGACTGGCAACAAGCGCTCCTCAACAGCTGATATTTAACTCGCTACCACGCAGTCACACACAAATTTGTCATACAATTAGGCCCTCACTCCTGATGCTTGCTGTCTTAATTCTCTTGTTGGGGGTGTGTGGGTGGTGTTGGAGTGTGCGTGTGGGAGTGTGATGTTGGGATGTGTGGGCGGTTGTTGGAGGGTGTGTGTGTGTGTGTGGGTGGTTGTTGGAGGGTGTGTGTGTGGGTGGTTGTTGGAGGGTGTGTGTGTGTGTGTGTGGGTGGTTGTTGTAGGGTGTGTGTGTGTGGGTGGTTGTTGGAGGTGTGTGTGTGTGTGGGTGGTTGTTGGAGGTGTGTGTGGGTGGTGGTTGGAGGGTGTGTGTGTGGGTGGTTGTTGGAGGGTGTGTGTGGGTGGTTGTTGTAGGGTGTGTGTGTGTGGGTGGTTGTTGGAGGGTGTGTGTGTGTGTGGGGTGGTTGGGGGTGTGTGTGGGTGGTTGTTGGAGGGTGTGTGTGTGGTGGTTGTTGGAGGGTGTGTGTGGGTGGTTGTTGGAGAGTGTGTGTGGGTGGTTGTTGGAGGGTGTGTGTGTGTGTGTGTGGTGGTGTTGGGGTGTGTGTGTGTGGGTGGTTGTTGGAGGGTGTGTGTGTGTGTGGTTGGTTGTTGGAGGGTGTGTGTGGGTGGTTGTTGGAGGGTGTGTGTGGGTGGTTGTTGGAGGGTGTGTGTGGGTGGTTGTTGGAGGGTGTGTGTGGGTGGTTGTTGGAGGGTGTGTGTGTGGTGGTTGTTGGAGGGTGTGTGTGTGTGTGTTTGTTGGAGGGTGTGTGTGTGTGTGTGTGGGTGGTTGTTGGAGGGTGTGTGTGGGTGGTTGTTGGAGGGTGTGTGTGGGTGGTTGTTGGAGGGTGTGTGTGTGGGTGGTTGTTGGAGGGTGTGTGTGTGGGTGGTTGTTGGAGAGTGTGTTTGTGTGTGTGATTTTTGGATGTATATGTGTGATGTGTGGGTGGTGTTGTAGGGGTGTGGGTAGTGTTGGTCTGTGTGGGTGATGTGGGATGAGGGTGGTGTTGTGGATAGCTAGGGCTGGTAGGAGGTGGACCTTTTTGGGGGGAAGGTCGTGTGGTCAGTTTTCACCCCTCCTTCCTCACTCAAGCGTGGCTAATTGTGATACCAATTTGATACCATAATGACCCTTAATAAATTCTCTGAGACATTTCCAATAATTTATTCATAAATGAAATATTTTGAGAAGATATAATGATGGGAATTCTATTCTTTAACCCTTAGGCCCTGGGTGACGTTCCAGAACGTCTGACTAGCGCGCCCGGGGTGACGTTCCAGAACGTCCGCCAATTTTTTATTTTATTTTATTTTATTAATTTTTTTATTATTTGGGAAATTATATTTTTTTCTCGATTTATCCCCGCGGGGGCGGTACTGCCAGCACAACCCTAACCCGGGGCTTTAGGGTTAAAAAAAAAGATACAGGAGTCAATAAAATCAGTTCTAATTTAGTTCTGCACCTTTTTTACCCCAAAAATCTGTGATACAGGCGTGAATAAAGCTGTATGTTACAGCAAAGACCAGTGGTATTTTCCATGCTTCACAGGAAAATTTCCAGTTGTATTTATTTTTGCAAATACCACTGTACACATACAATATTGTTCGTACTGTAAACAAAATAATGTATACTACAGTACTTGAGGTCCTCGACTTACAAATGCCCGCCGATACGAATGAGGTTAAAATTTAACTTTATAGTATTTTAATTACCTGATGACTTGCCATCCTTCCCCTTCCCCCCCCCCCTCCTCCATTTTTTTCCAGATTTATGAAATTTTCTTCTAAACAGACCTCTTAAATAGTTTTTATTTATCTTAGTGCCTCCTTTATTAATTAGGAAGTTTTTTCTAGACGGGAGGAAGAAGAGGAAGAGGCCCGACAGCAAGCACAGATTCAGGAAGAGATGAGGAGGATTGCCCTGGAGGAGGAACGGAGACACATGCAGCAGGTTTGTTTTCTAGGAAATTTTCTTATATCATACTGTGTGTGGTGTTGGGGTGTGTGTGCCACTCTTAGGCTATGAACAGTCTCGACTGACTTGTGGAATGAGATAATCATTTAAGAAAGTTTCAAACAAGCTCATTTTTTCCTCCCCATAACCCTTGAACGATGGCTATCATAGATAGGTGATGAGCGCCTTTTGTCTTGCAACAACAATGATCATCAGGTGAATTATTGTGACAATTTGCAACTTTTTCTCCTTCACATTGATCCCTTCCTGCATCAGTCACATTTTTTGTTGTCAGGGAGGAAGTATCTGGTATTTCTAATGAAAAGTTGTGCAAAAAGACTTCTCACCACTGAAGTGTTATTTTGACACCCAGAAAAATTTGTAAAAAAAAAGGGACACGGAGAGTAAGGGTAAAATTAAAGAGCTCTGAATTTGGAAATTATTACTTGTATGTGAGCTTCAACAATAGTGATGTTGACAAACTAGTCATTGGCATAGGAAGTGACAAGTATCAGCAGATTGGAGGAAGTTGGTTATTGTCTCCTAGAATAAATGTAAAGGGGAAAAAAGAACACGTGTAAGAACTGTTAGGAAATTCATGTGATTAGCATAGTAGATAGACACTTGGGAAGATAAAGATTTTTGGCAAAAAGAAAAGAGGATGACTAAATGGGAGAATGAAGGATATGGTGAAGGGTCATGCTAACATTTAGGAGGATGGATGCCATGGAGTACATTTGGGGTAGGAGAGTATAACACTGTATGAGGATGTAGCAGCAATAAAAGTAAATGGTTAACAGGAAATAAAAAGAAAGTCTTTACCTGCACTAGGTTGAAGTCCCCATACATTATAATGGGAGAGGGCTTGTTGGAGTATAGAAGAAATATAGTAATGATATAATAATAGCACTAAAATGTCAGTGTCTTTGGAACCTAAAAGTATTCCAATTTATTCTATTGTTACTGTCTTCCCCATTATACATTATACAATGAGAGAAAGAAGTATCTTCCCAGATTTGGCCTAAGTATAATGCAAACTGACTACCCAACACAGTGCAAGGTGTCACTGGTGACACCTTTCCAGGGTTTCACAGGCCTGCCAACTGTTTATGGGCTCCACACATATGTACCGAATGGTTCAACCGTCCTGCAGTGTATTCATCAGAACTGGGAAGATGCTTCATTTTCTCACTGCATCATTCTTAGTTGTCGTTCCCTTTATACGTGTACTTTTTCTTAGTTGGAAGAGGAGGAACGGCAACGACAGGCTGAGGAAGAAGATCGCCGGCATCAACATCTTCTCCAGGAACACTTAAAAAATATTCTGCCTGCTTGGAATGCTGTGCCTCCAGTCCCAGCTCCTGAGGCAGCACCAGCACCATCCCTTGCTGATATACAGAGGGCACAGGAAGAGAAGGAGAGAAGGGTTAGTGTTTTACAAATAACAAATGTTAATTTACCTTGCAGCTAAGGATTATAATGTATGTACAGTACTCTTTTCCTAATTGAATATAACAATTGTGATTTGTTATTGTATTTAGCACAGAACATTGATTTTCATAGAAAACAAATTTGTAACATCTTTTGTCCCAAGTCAGATATGATTATAAAGATATGTTTTCATATGTTTAGGAGCGGGAGGTTGAACTGCAAGTACAACAGCAGAGGCAGAGAGAAGCTCAGCGGCAAGCTGCAGAAGAGGCACGGCAAAAGAACTCTGGCCTCAAGTGGGCAGCTAGGGCCCAGGCCAACCCAGCACCAGCCCAGCCTGTTAAGTCTCTCCTGGAAATTCAGGCAGAGGAAGAAAAGGAACTCAAGAAGGTAAATTCTCATAAAAAAAAATTAATAAAAATTGTATCTAAGGTTTTTACGGAGATACTGTACTGTAGTTTTAATCTCTAGGGTAAGTCAGTACAGGAAGAAACTAAAAGAATGATAAAGGTCTCTGTGAGGGAGAGTACATAGGTGAGGAAGGCAGATGTGGATATTTGAATAAATTCATCAGACTACATTATTTGGAGTTTTGCCCAGATTCTCCCGGTGGCACCAGGAGTTCCACAAATGTTCCTAAGGACACCAATGTGTTTGGCAGAATTTTTGATAACTGCTTATCTTCTCTCGTTTTCAAAAGTGATATCAAATTTTTTCATAGATCCTCATAATGCTCCGTGGTGCCTCACAGGTGTTTATTACAACACCTGGTGTCCCATAGTAACTGTGAATAACTGTTAATGATGCTGGACATTCACAAGTATAGTACTCAATCAGGTTTTGTTGAACTGTTTTTTTCATATCATATGGCTGATGAATTGTTTTCTTGAAGATCATCCATAACAGCTGTTCCCATGGAGGTTGTACACTCAATAACAGTTGTCATTTAGATAATCAGTTTAACAGTTGTTCGTTCACTTGGCAACTTCAGTTTTACTTTGGGCCTTTCAGTAAAACTTTTTATCACAGAACCTTTGTATGTCGAGGAAGAAGCCAATAGATTTTGGTAGTCATAAGGTACCCATAAATCTTTCCACTAATGGTTATTTGTTGCTTACTTTTCTACTTTTATTTTTTTCTAGTACCATGTTCTTAGGTAACCCTAAAACATACCACTGATGTACATTTTACTTGGTCAGTGACTCAGGTAGCCATAAACTAAGACATAAGTACATCAGACATTTATATTTAGGGATTATATAGGAATATGGTACTACAGAAGAAAAATATGGAGGAGCAAGCAAGTGGTGCCATGGATTTCATTGATAAAACTGCTTAGAGGAAAAGAGTGAACACCAGCAAATAATTTAAATTATTCCCAGGACATTATCATCTTCCCCATTACCATCTTGCCTGATGTAATGCATATTGAAGTGGCTGATGGGAGTAGAATGTAGTATTCAGGTATGATAAATATTGATGATTGATTCTGTACAAAGTGTAGGATTATACAAATCTGTTGTTACCTTCAGCGGCAGGAGAAGGAGGCAGCAGAACGTGCGGCTGCTGTTAGTCACATGAGTTTAGGAGCAGCTGGTGTTTGGGGGTCAGCCATATCTAATCTCTCATGGGCCAGTCGTGCCTCTACTGCTGGGGCACCTCAGCCCAGTCATTCTAGTCAACAGGTAAGACCATTGTTTGTAATATAATTACATTGTTCAATAGGCACTGCAGTACAAGACCATTACAGTAGTACCATACAACAAAATGGGGAGTGCATGTGTGAGGGTTTCTGAAAAATAAGTTGAAAATGTGAAGAGAGAGGATTTATAATGTCCTGTCATGCTGAATAGTTTGAAGAAGGGTGAATCTTGCTGTGTTACCTTGTTCTGTATTAGGGTACCATATTATTATATCTTCCCTTACAACAATGTGGGAGGAGACTTTTTGAACTAATTTTGTGCAATCAGTATCTTTAGAATGAGATGGCTTAGATCAATTCATGCTGTTAGTTTAGAGTTAATGACTCTAAATTTAGAACTGATTGATTATATGCCCTGTATGTCAAGCCAAGGTCACTTTGATCTGCTTTCAAAATAAGAATTACAAATATTTTAGCCAGCCCATAATTTGAGATTTATAGCTTGAGATAGGTAAGGGAGAACTTTTGTCATTACTTTTCCTTTACGGGCATTAGCCCACTTGGGCACAGGTCTTTTTATAATGACCCAAATCAAGGCCTGGGGGGGGGGTATAATAAAATAAGAATAATAATTAACAAAAATCAATGACAATTATAATACAGTAAACCCCCGCTTTACGCGGTTTCACTTTACGCATTTCCACGTTTACGCGGTACCCTGCCGAAACCGGAATGCTCTCTTTCCGCGGTGTGTGTACCCTTTTACGCGGAGAGCGGCGCGAGCAGGGTGCGCACAAGGTCGCCCAGTCATCAAAACATTACCGAGTTCTTCACCCGCCACCCACCACAGCCAGCCCAAGTCAGTGATAGTGATAATGATAGTGAGGATATGGACTTATATGGACTTTGAGGGGTTTGACAAAGAGGCCCTGCAAGCCTCTGTGGTGGATAGTGATACAATTGATACAAGTGATACAGGTGAGGGCCAATAATCTGCCCTCTGCCTCGGAACCAACCCCCCATCCCCGTGTGCCCAGCCATCTTTTCTACTAATGTAAGTGTTAAAAAACCTAATATTATTGATATTTCTCTTAATTATTAATTGTGTGTGCATACCATCATAAAATTAAGAAGTTATTTTTACTACAACGTAGGTATTGTGTCTGAAAAAGTGGAGTTTGGGGGTCGGCCCGGTCTCTATTTCAATTAATCCCATATGTTATGTTGTTCACTTTACGCGGGCCGCCGTGGGTTCAATTGACCGCGTAAAGTGAGGGTTCACTACAGAAATTATTAATAATATAGTACTAATAAAAAAATTAAATATAATAATAATAATAATAAGAAAGAGCAATAAATAAATAACAAAATTAAATATGATCAAAAGTGAGAAACAATATATGTATGTTGTGTTGTCAAAGTAAGAGAAACAATTGAGACCCTGCAATTGTGTGTAAATGAGGCAGAAAGCAGATAAGCAACCTGGGAACTTGGTCAAAATTTTTTGTGATGCCATATGGCAGCAGAGTCTACCATTAGACAACACATTATGCTTCCAATATCTTCCCAGGCAGTAGTACCTCCCTGTTTGGTAGCTGCCTACTACCTACTACCACTAAAGTCACAATTCACATATCCATAAGTTGAATTTCATAATCATAGCTTAGATAAGTGTAAAGAGAATAGACAGGACTTACAGTGCAGGTGAGGGATGCCATCCTGTGTTAATTGGAAGAAGCTATAAGTTACAACTGAAGTCGCCATCGTCAGAGCTAATGAGCTCACCTTACTGCTACCATAAAGTAGTGGCCCTCAAAGTGCTGCCATTTAGCTGTTTTCCAGGATCTCATAGTGTACATGAAAAAATTCCAACCCTGTTATGTATACACACACATCAAAAACCTATTTAACTCTTTGTAGAGCAGGGGTTTCTCAGTTGAATAAAATAGTCTGGCGTTAGCCAGAATAAAATAGCAGTGTGCCGCTGCCCTACAAAGGATTAAAGAAAGAAACCAATTTATATACAAAATGCAACTACTCCAGGTGGCAACCAACATAAACAAGCTAACCACAACATCACCATGTAAATTTAAAATTACAAGCATTTCATAAACACACTGGGGCACATAACTAACTATAGAAAATTCTGGAAATTCTGCATCAACATCAGCACTTTCAGAAACAAAGATATTCACCATGCAGGATCTCCATAATATATGAGGTTCTCAGTGTCTAGCATCAGCTGAGCAGATATCTTAATTCCTAAACTACCTACACTCAACCCTCACAAGTACCAAGACCCACAAATATATCGATACAGTAAGTCCTCGTTTAATGTTGCCCCCATTAACGTTGTTTAGTTATAACGTCGCTACTCTTAAGATACCAATAATTCGGTTAACGTCCCGACAACTCGATATAACGTCGTTTTTGCATTGTCACGGACTACTTTGTAGGACACATCACACACTCGTCTTGCCGCGCTACTCTCTATCAGCTTGGAACGTTATAACTCTCATAACATTAAGATGACTGGTGAAGCTGCTAGTTCAGATATGGCTGCTGCTGAGATATTCCCACCCGAATTCAAGCAGATTATCCAGGAAAGAGGCTATTCATCGAAGCAAGTCTTCAATGTGATGAAACTGGTCTCTTTTAGAAGAGGATGCCAGATAGAACCTATATCTCCAAGGAAGAAAAAAGAGGGCCATGTTTTAAACCGGAAAAAGACCGCTTGGCGCGAACGCTGCCGATTACTTTAAGCTAATGCTAATTTCTCGCACTGTCAACCCACAGGCCTTGAAAGGTTACTCTAAGGATCACCTTCCTGTGATCTACAAGGCAATAAGAAGGCATGGATAACCAGCACCATATTTAGCCACTGGTTAAATGTGTATGCCATCCCTGCAATGAAGGAATACCTGGACTTAAAAAATTTTCTTGTCATTGACAATGCTCTAGCCATCCTCCCAGTCTCGACGACTTACATGACAATGTTCGAGTAGTATTCCTGCCTCCCAACATGACAACACTGCTACAGCCTATTTACCAAAGCGTCATCGCCGCATTCAAGGTGTATTATTTACGGTGTACCATGGACCAGCTGCTCAAGGCTACTGAAGGAGAAAATAAGCAAACGATCCAAGAATATTGGCGCGGCTACAACATTCTTCATGCAATCATCAACATTGGCAAGGCATGGGAAGAAGTTTCAGAAAGTTGCTTGAATGGTGTGTGGCGTAAATTATGGCCCGAGTGCATCAACAGTTTTACGGGATTCACGGACTTAATCCCAGCAGTGAATATGGATATCCTCAGCTTGGCTAGACAGGCAGGCTTTCATGAATTGGAATCTGAGAATATTGAGCAAGTTCTGGCATCCCATACAGAAGAGCTTACTAATGAAGGCCTGCAACAACTAACAGAACACAGTCCCGTTGAAGATGACGACAACGAAGAAATAACACAACGAATGCTAACTACCAAGAGGATGGCAGAAGCGTTCAACATGATCCAGCATGGATTGCAAATCTTCATTGATGATGACCCTAACAGAGAACATAGCTCAAAGATTGTACGCAACATGGAGGGAACTCTTAGTTGCTATAATGAGATCTACAAGGACAAAAAGAAGAGGAACACAAGCAGTCAACTCTGGATTCTTTTTTTCGTTGCTGGAAGGCAGAAGCAGCATCTTCACAACAACCTGCAAGTGAGGAGGAGCAACCAGCAGCCGAGGAGGAGCAAACAGTAGCGGAGGAACCCCAGTCAGAGCGGGAGGAGGAGCCACCTGCCGTGTCTCAGTGACTCCCCACCCTCCTCTGCTCCTGCCTTCCTCCCCCTCCGCTCCCGCCCTCCTCCTCCTCCTCCGCCGCTCCTGCCTTCCTCCCCCTCCACTCCTGCCCTCCTCCTCTGTTCCACTACCCACAACACACACTCCGCCCATCAGTGAGTACAATACAAAATTACTTAGTTATATTTACATGTACAGGTATCTCGCGTTTTACGAACGTTTGATTTAAGCGTTTTTGGAATAACGCGATTGGTCAAATTAATACCAAAAGCTAATTTACACGCACCTATTTTTTAAATAACGCCCTCAAGACAGTTTAAATTTGCCGCGTATATTCGCCTGGCAGTGGAGTCGCATGTGATACCTTGTGAGGTGCTTATAAGTTATTACTATAAAGTCAGTCATATAAACTTCAATGATTTTAATATTATTATTAATAATAATAATTATAATGTAATAGAGATTATTACTACTAATGATGAAGATCAGGATGATAATGAAGTATTCTGTACAACTACTGTGACGACGTCCAGCAAGGTTCCCGTTTATCGATTTCTCGGTTCACATCAGCACTACTTTTTCTCTGTGCAGTCAAGGTCAAGCAAACAGGGAGTTCTGGTTGGATTTATTATCAAGGTTATAAGTGATTCTCTCTCGATGCCGGTCAGGGTACAACTTCCCTGGCTGGCCGGCAACTGGCGCCACCACACCTCGGCTGACAATGCGGACCACGGGTATGAACCACCATGGGGGCAGTTCAACAATTGACAAACAAATAAAAAAAATGGTCCTCTATACATTTCAGAATGTAATTACACAATGCAATATGAACATAACAGTATAATACATAATACTCTCAGTGCTTTCATTTGCATTGTGTATTTATCACGTATCTTTTTAGTGTTAAACTCTGTTTTCCCCAATGAGGATGTCTGGAAAACGTGCATCTGCCTCCTGTGGGGCGCCTAAAGCTAAAAAGGCATGAAAAACAATCGCAATGGAAGTGAAATTAAATGTGATCACCCACCTTCAGAGAAGAGAGTGTGTGTCGGAGGTTGGCCGTGTGCTTTGTTTAAGTGAGAGCACTGTTCGTACCCTGTGCGTTATATGATGGCTCCCCTTACCTGTACCATTTACATGTATTCTTATGGGAAAATTGTTTAATTTAGGCGTTTTCTAATTTAATGGTGGTTTTAATGAACATAACCCCTGCGTAAAACGAGAGGTGGGTGTGTATACTATTATCTATATAAATTCCATTGAATTTCAGTATATGTAATGTATTTCATGGGGCAAAGGGAGGCTGGGGAACGTAACTCCTGTATTTTATCTATTTCTTATGGGGAAAATTTATTCCGTTAATGTCATATTCCGTTAACGTCGCGGTTTTCAGGAACGGAACCACGATGATAAGTGAGGGCTTACTGTATATAAAAAACATTTTCTTAAGTTAATTGATTACATACAACAAAATCTTATTTTAGAGTCTGGCACCAAATATCCATCTCAAGGAATCCGCTCTCCATAGAGAAATGAGAGTATTGTATGTTACACATATCAAGACAATGCTGTGGCTACAATCCCAACACCTACTATAAATACAGAATCCAACTTGCACAAACTTCTCTCTCCTCATACTTCAACATGAGCACCACAAACCACCTGATAGCTTCACCAACTCAATACCAAAATTCATCTCTGGGAATGACTGATTGAATGCTACCAAGATTATGAGAATTAAACCAAGGAACATAAGAACAAAAACTTGATTTGTCATAAGAGCAACCTTTTCTTACTACAGAAGAAGTCCAAAAATCCGGACTGCTTGGGGATTGGGTCGGTCCGGATTTTCGGATTTTCCGGATTCTCAGGCAGTACTTTTAAAATTTAAATTTAAGGAGGAATAAAGAAGAGATGAACAGGTACATTTTGATAGTTTATTCATTAGCAAATATAGCATGCTTTATTTTTCAAAACGAGCAGTTTTAATGAAAAAGCTGTGAATTCTAGAATTTTATTCTTTGCCTTTTTTATATCATAAATTGTCGACTTTCCAATGTCGTATGTTTCCATTAGAACAGTATTGCTCACACCACGTTCTAGTCTCTTAATTATTTCAAGTTTGTCACTCAATTTCAACGTGTTCTTCTTTCTCTTCACACAACGAAGTTTATCTACTTTAGGAGCCATTATTATGGGCTTGTACAGCATTGTAAGTGGAAAAAGTAGGACTCAAAATATTGTTATATTACAATGGTATTTTATTCATACTGTGCTTGATATAATGCATTCACGGAAATGTAATATTTTTGCTGAAATGACGTACGTATTACAGTGGAAAGTGGGATAAAATCGTGACGAAAACAATGACTTTCGCTTTCTTTCGTTCAAAAGATGTTACCGTAATCGCTTTTTGAATGGTTTTCAGTTAAAAAACTGTTGTATTACAATAATATTCCCTCCTAATTGACTTGAATGAAAATATACAATATTTTTGTTGAAACTACCCTCGTTTCAGTGTGAAGTGTCGTAATAATAAATGGTAAACAATTTGCCTTCGGCACTCGTGTTTCAGGCACGGCGAGCCTCAGTTTATAGGACGTAAAGCGTTTTTACTGAAGGTTTTGTTGTTCCATTACCCTCAAAAATGTGGGTCGAACTATAAACGAGGAATGTCATAAATTAACGATTTCTTGGTAAAAAAAATCAGGGCCGACCGATAAACGAGGGGGGGTTATAGACGAGTATATACGGTATGTTGTCACAGTTTGATTGCTCGTTTTAAAGTGGCGCACGTGGTCGCTTGTTGTCGCTGTGCAGCTGTGGCGCTCACGCATGCGCACATACACACAAAAGCCCGCTTAAAAGAAAAATAAAAAAATTAGTTTTCGAAAAGTCCGGATTGTCGGGTGGTCCGGATTTCTGGCATCTGGATTTTTGGACTTTTACTGTACAGCATGCCCTGACAATTTTCGTGGCTGGAACAGGGAGTCATTCGTTCTGGAGACAGTAATATCTTTTACCTGTACAGTGGTCCCTCAGTTAATGAACGGTTCGGTTAACGAATTCCCTCCCATAAGGATCTTCAATTCAGTTAACGAACAAAACTTTGATTAACGAAATCCTTACGAACATCACGTTTTGTTGTGAGCATCAGCTGATGGACTAGTCTGCCAATTCAGTAATCTGTTCTATGTTTACATTCGTTTCCAGCGGAGTAAATGTCAAGAAAGTTGTGCTCTTTAATATTTTTGCATTTTTTATATTAAAATTATTAGTCATTTTAACATTTATTTAACATATTGATAATATATGCAGTACAGGCAACTAGTTTTTTGTGCGCCCATCAGACGCATGACTCAGCCACAAGGCGTCAGTTGGGCTTTGTTGACAGTGGAGTGAACATCTATTTTGTTGGTGTCTTGAATATTTTTACATTGAAATTATTGGTCATTCTGAAATTTAGTTAACATGTTGATAATATATAGAGCAGTGCAGTGTTGATTTAAATAAAATAATCTTGAATTACACCTAGTGAACTTAAAATTTTATTGGTGAAATGACGGAATCAAGCATTGGTCCCCTGAAAGGTGATTTCTCCACCATCCCCACATCCTTCTCTTCTCCCTTCTCCACCACCCCCACTGCATTTTTTTTCTTTACTTTGTATGTACTTTTCTGTGAGCTGGAACCAATTACTTAATATCCCATTGAAACAATGGATTCGGTTAACGAAATTTTTGGTTAATGAACGACCCTCTGGAACAAATTGTGTTCGTTAACCGATGGACCACTGTATTGTATATATGTGTGTGTGTGTGTGTGTGTAGACACAGAAAGAGTAAAAATAATTTTCCAAAGGGCAAACACATAAATGGAATATACATTTCTTTGCACAAGTAAAAATGTCCCCCGCCAGCAACTGTTATTCACGGATTTGGCTATTCACGGCCATTTTTAGAACCTAACCCCTGCAAATTGTAAGGGCATGTTGTACAATTCTTCCGTTGTATGAAAAATAAAAATTTCTATAAAGGTGTAAGATATGAGCTATATAAATTTTATATTCCATGACAGTGGGGTGGAGCTAATGGTGGTCACACCTCAAGTGCAAGTAGTAGTTCTGGAGGTCTGTGGAACAGCAATAGCCAACCTGCAGTAACTACAGCCAGTTCTGGTCAATCGGTCTGGAACAATGACCATTCGACGATTTGGAGTCATTCTGATAATTCTGCACCCACAGGTATGGTATAAAGCCTTAATATTAATGCACATTTCTGTTAACTATTTTAATTTTTACCTCTCTGTCAGGCTTTTTACTGGGATGAGCTAATGGTTCAGGCAGGCTGTCTGCATTTTTGCTATCAGTAACCATATACAGTATAATTTATGTAATCATACTTACATATAATATTATTTTGTCTTACCTCACCCAGTATGGCAGTCTGATATATATTCCTTCATGAGGTTCCTGTTGGTTTGGGGGCTTTTATGATGGCTTGTTTTGTCTACATTTAATGTATTTTTTCATACAGAATTACTATGTTTGTTGCTTATCCTTATAATTATAATACCATTACTAACACGTACCAAGACAAATTATTTATGCACTCATTGCATGTTGGAGGCATTGTATTTCTGGCTGGCCATCTATATTTATTTTCAAAGAAAGATTATCCAAATAGTTTCTGGAGTAAGCAAAGAGATTTGGGGGGTTTCTTTATATGTGTCCTCTGATAAGGCCACTTTACAGTATAAGATTTAGTGCTTATTTTATTGATTTTTGTATCTTCCCTCTTATGAATTACTAGTGGGTATGCCCTACAGAGTCATCATAAGTAATGTGCAGCTTCTTGTACCTACCTTTGCTAAGATCCCAGGGCCATGGCATTTGAGTGGATACAACACTTGTCTTAACCCTTAAAAGGGATCATATGATGTTTGAGAGGAAAATGCATAAAAGGCGGAGGACATAATAGGATGTTTAGGTTTATCACGCCATTGTTTGGGTGCGCTCATGGCTATTGTCCGGTTACTATGATGACACTAGTGACTCACTCCAGAGCCGGAAAAACATTTACTCCCAGTTCAACTCGTGATTTCTCCAATAAATTATTATTTTTTATATTTATTTACTAAATATAAATTTATAGGAAAAAAATGAACTTTCTAATGGTGCAAAAAAAAAAGATACCTCAATTAGGGCACATTATACTTATAGCAGTTTGTCATCGACATCACATAGTTGTGAGCAGAGCTTCTGGTGACCACGTGGTAGCAGTGCGGAGGACAAATAAAGTATCGTTTACCTGTTACCCTCAGTAATAAATTCAAATAACTACTGCTACAATTATTGTCTTACTTTTTAAGAGACGTAGAACAAAATACACTAAAATATAACTGCTGTCAGCTTATGAACTATGGATTTCTAATGAGATGTTTGTCCTCTGTTCGAATGTTGCCGTCTTGCTGTCACACTCTAGCCACGTCGTCTTGAATATTTTTAGTAACATCGGCAAATTACGAACTGTGCTATTTGAACAGTGTTATCTTATGAGCTTTGCTCCGTTTTAGATGTAGCAAAATATACCCCGTCCTGGGCAAACAGCACACAGAAATATACCCTCCCTTTAAGGATGAACCCCTTCCCTCACCTATTTTATTCCAGTGTATGTATAAAATATCATCATTTTTTTTTATGCCAGTTTTCTTTTGTGTATACAGTATAAGATACAATACATTTAATTTTTTTAGGAGTTATTACAATGTAAAATACACCATAATTATTATCCCGAGTATTCTCGGAAAATATGAAATTAAGAAAATCATAAGAATAATTGATACAGTACTTGAAATGAATTATTTTCTTTTACTTTATACTAATACAGTTCTCAAGATAAAGGATAATTTTTTTACCAATAGAGTTGTAAATCAGGCTTATTTACAATACTACTCTGCAAAATTGTAATGGCCAAGAAAACTCTAATTTCGTTTCTAGTTGTTGACCGCCACTTGCTTTTATTTCTTGCCGACACTTCTCAATTTATTTTGTGCAATTCTGTTAGTCACTACAACTATCATATCTACAATATAATCATCTATGAAACTCAAAATACTGTAAAATACTTTCCTCTTCATCAAAACAATACCTGTAATTGATACCATTATTTGCAATTAAATCAAATGGCAGTGGGGAAAGCGAGACGACAGGCGTTGATTCATTCACCTTCTTCCAACCCCTGGCGTCAAGTGGACTTTCTTCATTGGACATGTCTTCATAATCATCACTGTTATATTCATCATCACTAATCAAATTGAGGGGTTGAATAATTCGACCAAAAACGTTTCATACGAAGACGCAGCATCTCTCGGCCGCAAGGAAATATTTTCATCTGCTCTATAAACAAAGATTGTATACTACCATCTATTGCGGGAAAGGAGAACTATTGGCCACTACTTTCTCAAGACTCATAGAAGACGGGCTTGCAAACTCATACGAGTTATTTCGGGTTAGTAATAGTGTGATATCCCCGTTAGCCGGAACAATTTGTGCAGAGGGATGAGAGATATCCGGCTAACCAGACGACTTTCTCAAACCCGGAAAAGTTCATTATCCCCGGAATATTTTCTGGTTACTGGGAAAAGTTTCTGAGCGTCTAAACTAGACATCTTGCACACACAGACACTAGGACACTTCCCCAGAATGTTTCTGGGTGCTGGGGATGTTTTCCTTGAGTCTAAACTACTGGAGTCCATAAATGCAGTTCTAATTCAGTTAGAAACTTAATTTCTTTTCTACAATAATCCAGAATAGTTAATCTAAAAGTGTGGTAAAATAAATACAGTGGTGTATTTGAATAGCATGCTGCCCCGAGTGTACTCAGGATAATACTCTTTTGACACATCATTTTTAACGAGCATATTTGAGATAATAAGGGAAGGGGTTGAGGGTTGCTGGTTCAATCCTAGGGCACTTCCAGTCTATTCAACTGTAAATGGGTTCCTAACTTTTCACTTGGGGAAGAAATGGTATTTGAATGCATTGCTGGCCACACTCCTTTCTTGCTGTCTCCACACTCTTTTTAACCCAATTATTGCTGCATTGGGGAACTCAAGTTTACCCCATATACTACAAAAAACATAACATGAAAGTTTAAAAAAAAAATCATAAAACCGAGGATATGAAATTTAGAAGTCATAAAAACCATTTGAAAACTTTGTACTCATTATGTGTGGCAAGTTATAAGTCTGTGAAGTGAGGCAGAATGTAGCTGGCAGCTGCTGAGCCCTGGATGTTGTGATGCAAAAGGTGGTTGTGGTGGTGCAGCATTGGGGTGGGTTTTAGGTGCAAAATGAGTGGTGAACCAAACTGTGGCATCATAGATGTGGGTGAGGGGCTACTGAGGACAGGAGGAGGGTGATGAGGCATAAATAATTCCAAATCATTCTTAGATGATGATAGGAAGTTGAATCTGAGGCTCCACCAGCCTTGAGTCTACCAATCATCAACTTTCCATTATTAGTGTGATTTTTGGGGCACTGCTTTAAATTCATGGCTCCGAATGCCAATCATCGTAAGATGACAATGGTGCAATCTCGGTAAATCAGCCGAAGACGATGATAGCAGTTAAAGGGTTAAGAAGCAGTCATACCTATGTGACTCACTTAACCAATACCCAACAGACAAGAAAAAAAAATCTGATCATCGTTCCTTGTGGTCTTTATGGGATTTTAGTATAAATTATCTTGAAAGTTTAATGATGAGATTCATGTCACCGATGCAAATAGTGCTACCAAATGAAATGACATGATCAGTGTCATGATGCCCAAGAGGATTAAATATGTAAACACATTAATGTAGTGTTTGTGTGTGAGTGCAGTGCTGAAAAAACATATTGTAATAATGCTACTTTGGTTTACAGGAGGGTTTTGGGATAACCCTGAGCCAGTCAAGCTTAACAAACAGGCCAATAGTCGCACCCCCACCAAGCCATCTAATCACAATGCTAACAACAAGGGTGGAGGGGCACCAACCACCCAGAACTCTAATGCTAACAACCGTGTAAACAAAAAGAAGGCAAAGGATGACAGTGACACTGTGAAAAGATTGTTCACTGACAACATGTCTCCTGCAGACAATTTCACTCAATGGTGCAAAACTTCACTACACACCTTGAAGGTCCATGCTTCTATTGACAGTAAGTATACTAATATATTCCTGTAGTTTAGGTATGCAATACATCTGTTAAATTGACCAGCCCTCGCATGTGCAATTTAAGAGATTGTAGTTTATGGATATTTTTTATGATAATTAAAAAAATATGGCCATGGGTGATTTCCAGTGACTTGGCAGAAACATGTGTATTGCACACTGACGTTATTTTCAGTTCCAACATTTGTGACGTTCCTGGCAGAAGTAGAGTCTCCTTACGAAGTCCACGACTATATCCGTTCATATCTTGGTGACAGTAAAGAAGTGAAAGAGTTTGCAAAGCAATACCTCGAACGGCGAAGTAAAGCCCGCAATGCCCAAAAGGAACGTGAAGTGGAAGATGACATCTTGGCGCCGGCGCCAGCTGTCAATCCCACAAACTCTGAATTCCAAGAGGTCAAGGTACTGTGTATATGTCATTGGCAGATTGGGTAAATTAGTATTGACAGTCATTACACTTGTATAGTAGATTCATTACATACCCAGTGATATTATTAATATTACAATATTGACTCATTATATTGATACATATTGACAAACAATATATTTATATTGGAATGTGAATTAGCTATTAATAGTTAATAGAGAACTAAAGGAGAAGGAGCTATAATTCCTTCATTGATTGGGTCGTAACTCTTAGGAGACCACTTGAGAAATATACAGTGCATCATCATGAAATTTTATCCTTACTGTTCATAAAAAGATCTGCTAATGACTTACTTTTTTCTTTAATTCATTTTGTTTACCATATTTATTTTATAACCTTACCTAACCTAGCTTAGACAAACCTTGTATTGCCCAACAAGTCTGTGATTGAGAAAACCCAGGATTCATAGAGACAGTACAAGCTAGAACTAGTCTTTTGTTGCAAGCATTGCTCTTAAAAGTGGAAATCTGGAAATATAGGTCACAATTAAAAGTAGGAGGCTAACGACCAGTGGTGCCACTCAAACTCTGCACATTCCATCTGTCAACTTAAGGCTCAGTTACAGTAATCAAGGATGCAGAATCAACCTCAAAACTGACCAGCTCTGTGTTGAGTGAAGGCATGCCTCTCCCTCTTGTCTGTACAGAAAAGAGTTAGGTATATTAGTTATGCCTTTTGCAGCTCTTGGGTAACTTTTAGGCTGGTCCTCACAGTTCTTGGTGTTAATCTTTTGTTAATTGTGTGTTTGAGGCTTTTGTTTTTAGTTATTTACATAATTTGAATTTGGCTGGCTGGTCATTCTGTGGGGCTAACATCTTTGGTGGCGTAAAGGGTGATGCCTAAGGATCTTGGCGAGTACCTAGTCTGTTTTTCGAGTTTTTTTATTCCAGGCATATGGTGTTTGGCCTGAGGTAGAGATAAACAGTCTGGTCTGAGATTGAGTTAGGATTTCTGTTTTGGAAACTGGCCTTGGTGCAGATTGTGGTCTCACCTTTGGAATAAGTAGATCTGCAAGTAAGATTTCATTTTAAGTAATGATGGCTTTCTTTCTTCTGGTTATTGAACATTAGGAAGGCCTTCAGGAGATCTGTTGGCTGATATTACTGGATTATTTTATTTAATGAGAGTAATATGGATCTTTGGTCCATTTTTGTAAATTTAGGTCCTCCTCTCCACCCAATGTATTGACAGTTGAATGCCCTTGACACTGTGGGCTGATTCAAGGCCCTCCTAAGATCAGCAGGCTTAAGATTTTTTCCTGGCTGGTCCATATTTCCAGCTTTTAGGTCACTTAGTCATTTCTAAGATTCACATAAATATGACATGAAAATTTTAGGGCGGTGGTTAATGGTCATGTGTCAGACCCTTAACCTAAAATTTTCTGGACAAGCAAAATTTTCCCGTACAGGGTACTAGTCAAGGACAGAAAAACCCCATGGTTATTGCCCCCCAAAATTTATTTTAACCAAATTACCTTTTTAATTTGTTTTATATATATTTCTTTTTCACATTTGAGTCAAGAATTGTGCAGTAGATTACAGTATATTTTCCTTATTAACTACCTGTAGCTGAAAAATATTTAGTTTTGATTCCTGGTTTTGTGCTTACTATTGAAAAGTTTGCAATATACAATATGATCATATCTTAATACAGCATTACAGCATATGACAATTAGTATCATTATTTATCATCATATTTCCTTAAAGAGTCACAAAAGCTTTTTCAAGTATTGAATAAATTTGTGATTGTGCAATGTGCTTATTTATGTTCCTCATTTTGGAAGTTTATTTGACCTCAAACTTTTGTTGTTAGAGGGATTAAACTGTGTCAAAGTAGACAAAGTTGGGCTATAAAACAATAGTTGAGCTGACATTACTGTATGGGTATGCAAGAGGTAGAAGTTAACTTGGAGTAACAGAAATGACAAGTTGAAAGGTAGCATTTTGAATTTGTAATGATGTGAAGAACAGAAAATTACAGAAATATGAATAAAATATGGAAATAAAAAAGTGTTGGAGATAGAAATGAGAAACAGTAATCAAGAGTTTGCTGAAGTGGAATGGATATAATGAGAGTCTGGAAGGTGAGAAAGGGTAAAAATGTGGTATAATTCAGATGTAGATGGTAAAAGGGGAGATGATCATCAAGGAGGAGATGAAAGGTTGGGGATAAAGGACTTACTGTACTAGAAAGGATATCCAGGAAACAGCAGTGTACACAAACGATGGGATAGAATGGGGTTAAATTTTTTATGGGGATGGTACAGAGCTGGAGGAGTGAAGAGATAAAAGATATTGAAGAGAGGGTAAGTGTATGCCTATGGTTCTGTCCGCCAGACAGCTTAGTGGGAAAGGGCTTGTAAGTAAGTAAGTAAGTGGATGGGTGGGCACGCGCGCAGTACAGTACAGTACTACGCCCGCATTACTGTACGTCATAATGTGCAATGTGGACTTTTCATTTTGATAAGAAAGTAATAGGTAGCTTAAGTAGTATTAGTGTCATTTACAATAATTAATGATATATTTACTACCTTGGATTTTGTGTTATCATTGAGTGGATGAAGCAGTAAGATTTGTCTCTATTACTTTGCAGCAGGCTCGTAGCAAGAAGGCCAGTAAGAAAAAGATGCAGAAAGTAGACAGTAGTATTCTAGGATTCAGTGTCATGTCCAATGAACGCATCAACGTGGGAGAGCGGGAATATGCAGAGTGAACTCCGTGGTCACCATTGAACACAATTATTGTCACAACTACTAGTGAACTCCAGAAATTGAACCTACACTTGAGCAATTAAGTGATGATGAAGCTTTTCAGTGTAAAAGTGTGTGGCTTGTGACTGTGGCTGTGTTTTATAAAAATAAATTGCCTTTGCCAACAAATTTTCAATAACAATCACTTCTCAAACTTTCACTTTTAAAATTAATTCATTATTTTGGTTTTAAAATTGGAAATAAGTGTTCTGCTCGTTCTTCCCTTCCTTGCTCATTGCCTAGTCTTCTCGTAAGGTCATCCTATCTGTCTGTTTGTCTGTCATTTAACCATGAATTTTGTAAACACAGCCAAATCAAGATTTAAAATGAATATGCAGTGGGATAAGTATTGAGTGTGCGTTTCAAAATAAGCCAAATTCTTCATGTGATAACTGTGGTGCAAAATTGGAAACAAAAATCTTTGAATTGGTGTGATTGTTTTTGTCAGCAGTTAAATTGGTTGGCATTGACCCCTGTTATTATAGGAGGGAACACAGGGAGCAGAGTACCAAACAACTATGGTAATTGCCTTAGTATCTGTGGAAATTCAGGATCTTGTGGACACTGCAGGATCTATGTTATATTATACAGTACATCAAGACAATGAATGACATTATGCTGGGAGAATACAGTATATTAACAGACTGCTGGCCTTGAAAATTGTGAAGTCTGTTTCATGTGTGGTAGGTACATTGATAATGAACCAACAAGTATGGTAGGTACATGAATAATGAACCAACAAGTATGGTAGGTACATGAATAATGAACCAACAAGTATGGTAGGTACATTAGTAATGAACCAACAAGTATGGTAGGTACATTAGTAATGAACCAACATGTACAGTTGATGATGCATGGACATGTATGTTGAAACTGTTCCAGCATGCATGGCTGGTCCGTTGAAAATGCTCCTCTTCCTTACTTGTGCATAATATCCTGCCACTGTAATTTGATAATGTGTAAGGTTGAATTTTATCTGTGATAATGACCTGCTTGCAAATTTATGTGTAATCTGGGGTCAAAATAATAATAAAAAGAAATTGCAGCTTGGCATGTTGTGAAAACAGTTGTGCTCTCTTGTCACAATGTCCCATTTTAAAATACCTCACATATTTGGGTTCATGCACATCGTCATTCTCCTCACATAGGCATGAATTCCAAATACTTATCATCCATCTTCATAATTACCATTTCATTGTTCATATATTGAATAGGGCTTTTAGCTTCATGGTCTTCTGCTTCCAAGGCTAGAAATACTTTTTATTTATTATTATATTGGCAGTAATTATGACCTAGGAAGTAGTTCATTCACTGAAGTACCAGAAGAAGCTTTGCACTAAAATCATTTGATGTACTTAAAAAATTCACATATGATAAGCTATATTTTGTTAACTAAAGGAGTTACTGTAATGTGTGTGCTAATACATCAATAATTAATTCTTTTCTTTTTCTTAATACTTCAATTCAAGGAATATTTCCATAAAAGTATAATTGAACTAGAATATGGATTGTTATAAATGCCATTTCATATTTCTTGTGCCCTTTTCTGTGTCCATCTAGTATTATATTTCTCCTTATTTACATACATGTTATATACTGTATTCTGCTTGGTTCTTTTCCCCTTTCTCCAAATTTTCTTTCTTTATTTTGGTTCTACAATATTTGCACCATGAACCATGATAAGGAATGCCGTTATTTACGTGCATTTTCTCCCATTTGATAGTTAACCTGGTGGAAATTATTCATATTTAGTTATTGGTACAACAAAGCCTTTGGCCTTATTCACTTTTTGAAAACTGTTGTGTCAAATATCATTTATTTCTAATGTGTGCTCTTTGTTGCGGGAATACTCATGACGTTTATTATAATTCCCAAGAGAGAAGTCGATCCTAAGGCTTATGATCCATTAATTTTATTTCAGTTTTAAGGATACACATAGATTCTGTCAACTTTCTAACATTCTAGAAAGTAGATTACTTTTTGGACTTTAATTTAGTATAAATGTACTAGATGAACATAGCTTTGGGTACATGTAGTCATGGTACAGTATGTAGTGGTTGATGTGTGGTTAAGCCAGGCATATGCCTTAACTTTGCTACAAACTAACAGTGGTGTAAGGGGGCCAGTTAGTGTTGACAGCTTTATTGATATCATCTCCATATCCTTTGAATGCACTCTCTTGATCAGGTCTAGAAAACATCCACCTTTGTGTACAATTTTGTTTTCCAAGCAATATCATCAGGATCTTGTATGACTAAATTGAAAAGGTTATTACAGTACAGTATCAATTATTGTTTTTACTATTTGAATTCTTATCAACAATACAATAGCAGTTGCAGTCAAGTGGAGAAATCTTCAAGTTAATAAATCTGACCTTTATTCTAGAAAGGAGTCAAAGAAATTCTGCTATCAGAGATGTGCAGCCATGAAGGTGTTTGAGAATTTTACTTGTAAGATCCACCTTTAAATACAGGAAGTGGTACATTCATCTTAAGAAATAGGAAAATAACTGTGTGTGCATGTTACTAACTACTCTTGATCTAGTAGCATGTAATTATGCTTCAAACTAGGTGAACTAAAAACTCTTATTCTTTTTGAAACAAAGGAATTTAAAAAAAAAATTTTGTTCCTGGAGAAAGATATTTGAAAAATTATGAAGATCTTTTCAAGAACAGTCATTGTGTACATAATATGGTATCAGCATCACAGAGGAGATACAGTGTTAACAAGGTGTTATATTTCCTTAACATGATGGTGTTGATGACCCTCCCTCTGGTAATATACTGTAACCTTACATGTTCCAAGTTCTCAGGAGAGTTAGGGTATGCAAATGAACAGGAAAACTGTCCTTTTTTTTCGCTCAATCTCCCCGATGGTTACCTTACCATTTTAAATATGTGTACTGTAAGTATTATGTATGCGTATTCCACATAACCCTCACACCTGTTTACTTGAACTTGAGCCATCTTGAGTGGTTCTTGAGCCATTTCCTTCAAATATCTGTTATTTTGATGTATAGTATCAGTGCAGTACATGCTAGTGGGATAACTTCTCTCCATCCAGTGGATCTTACCATACCCTCATAATCATACGTTAAATATTTCTCTCTGTGACTTCAGGACCCTTAGTTTTCATAAAATTTTCCAATTGATGTTTTGAGAATCAAGAGACCCAGAAACAGTATTGATGGGAAGTCCAGGAAACAAACAAGGGAAAATCTCAGTCAGCACACGTCTCATAACCTCTAAATAAATTTCATTTTAAATACCCAAAATATATGTCTGAAATAGGAATTCACTGCACTCGCCTCATTTAAACAATATTCAGTTTTGTGGGACTTGTTGTGACATGACCTGTCATTTATTTGTATTGTAATTCTTTCGTCTGCATGTCTTTAGACCTTCATCTGTTACTAATTTCTATTATTGGTATTATTATTGTTATTGTTGTGTCTCCGACCTTTATGCCCACTCCCCAGCACTTGACAGTTCATCTTTTTCAATATTGGTATATAACATGCTATCAAAATCAATGTCCAAATCCAGCTTGAGCTCAAACACTGCCAGAACTGATTTGGTCTTAACATCTTGAGGGCCTTTTTATTAGCTTTTCTCATACCTTAAACTACGTATTTTCTTCACTTTCTTTTAGATCCTCCTTTTGTGTTCATTTGTTTCATCTTTTTCTTCTTACAAACAATTAACAATTGCCACTCTTTCAATTCTGAGTTAATTTGAAACTTATCACAAGCATACTTGAACAGCTGACAAGTATGCCCTGTCTCCATTTTATATTTATCTTATTATATTTAAAGAATTTTTAGGGGTCATAAGTGAGACCCTCCGAACATGCATAGAGCTGCTGTATGGTTATATTTAGACCAATAATTATGAGAGTTGTTACAAGTACAGTTTAACTATATGAGTATATACAGTAGACCCCACCCAATAAGCTAATTAAAAAAAATATCAGTTTTATGCTGTAGGCTCGTAAGTTCATAGAGATGCCAAATTTTGGAAGTTCTGGTCCAATAATATGTTGTAGTTTAACCACTGTATGTGAGACTTTGTACATAGTTACCATGGTGTAAGCCTGAAATGATAAGCAAAATATTGAAGTTTTGAATTTTGGACTATTTCACTGGTTCAAAGGTCACCAAAGTGGCACAATTTTGCAAATATGAATCCTTAATTCTCATGACATAACTCGTGTATATATATGTGTGTGTGTATATATATATATATATATATATATATATATATATATATATATATATATATATATATATATATATATATATATATATATATATATATATATATATATCACTCGTTCATTCGTTCCAGAGACGTTCGTTAACTGAAAATTTCATTAACCAAATCCATTATTTCAATGGGATATTGGGTAATTGTTTCCAGCTCACAGAAAAGTACATACAAAGTAAAAAAAAAAAAATGCAGTAAAGTACACTTACTTTGAGGTGTATATGTAGAAGGCTCCTGGTTGATGATTTTGATGGGAATTAGAAGTGGGGGTGGAGGAGAAGGGAGAAGAGAAGGAAGTGGGGATGGAGGAAAATAGAGAAGAGAAGGAAGTGGGGATGGAGGAGAAATCATCTTTCAGGGGACCTCATGCTTGATGCCGTCATTTCACCAATAAAATTTTAAGTTCACTAGGTGTAATTCAAGATTATTTTATTTAAATCAACACTGCACTGCTCTTTATATTATCAATATGTTAACTAAATTTCAGAATGACCAATAATTTCAATGTAAAAATGCAAAAATATTCAAGACACCAACAAAATAGATGTTCACTCCACTGTCAACAAAGCCACACTGATGCCTGGTGGCTGAGTCAAGCGTCTGATGGGTGCACAAAAAACTAGTTCCCAGTACTGCATATATTATCAATATGTTAACTAAATTTTATAATTACTAATAATTTTAATATAAAAAATGAAAAAATTTTAAGAGCACAACTGTCTTGATATTTACCTCACTGGAAACGAATGTAAACAAAGAACAGATTACTGAATTGGCAGACTAGCCCATCAGCTGATGCTCACAACAAAACGTGTTGTTCGTAAGGATTTCGTTAATCGAAGTTTTGTTCATTAACCAAATTGAAGATCCTTATGGGAGGTAATTCGTCAACCTAAATTTAGTTGATCGAACCGTTCGTTAACCGAGGGACCACTGTGTGCGCGTCCAAACAAGGAATAATATCCATGGCAATGATATGTAATTGTGAAACTGACTTGACTTGACTTGCCATCCAGTTGCACTCAAAGCGGGTGAGGCCGAGTTGAGAGCTATATTATTGTACAACGCGTTATTTTGGCTAGATAAAGTACAGTATATGCTTTTATTCTGTTACATGTACACACAATCGTTCATACAGAATGTGCAAAAAAGGGGGGGGGGGGATAAACATTTCTCTTGTGCACGGGAGTTAGCATACAGTGCAGGGGAGGGGCTCTCAGCTTTTGCCATCTCATGTCCCATGTGGAATGACACAGTTACCGAATGGCACCACGGTAATTTTATGATATGTATGTATATATTTTTTCACGCATTTACTGGTATACAGTGTACAGTAGATGCGACGCATTTCAGCCGAGCAGCCACCAAGAGATGTGTGGCTGCTGTCTGTGTGCCATGATGTCACATAAAGGGTGGAGGGAGAATGCCACAGTTACAGCTGACTGCCTCAATACAATTGCCACACATACACACCCATGTTTTTCATTTTTTTTATACAGTCTCTCCTCGACTTACGACGGGGTTCTGTCCCGACGACCAGGTCGTAAGTCGAAAAGGCGAAAATAATACATGAAATTTCTAAAATGGGTGTCTCTTTTTCTTCTCAGCACCACGAGAACTCTCACTTTTACGCATGCCAGCCATTTTAAAGGGAATTACAAACGAAAATTTTTTCAGTACACAGCGTAATCACTAACGTCGGTACTAGAAAATATTTTATACGAACACGGAGGTTGTATGTCCGGGGTGTCGTAAGTAGTGGAGTACCTGTATTATAGTTTTGTATTACAGTACAGTATTGTAATGCACACTTGAAGCACAGAATCTCCAGTTTTTCTGTCTTCCCTCCCGAATTTTCCCCAGTGAGTTGAACATCGCTAAACTAAAAATTGACCATCACTAAACAAGAAAGGCTGTTGATAATTTTTTATCGTTAAACCAAAATATCGCCAAGTGAATGATTGTTAAATGAGAGATGCTCTACCTGTATGCATATAAGCTCTGGCAGGACAACACTTAAATTGACCCTTTACATGCTAAAGAGATTGGGTAATGTATTTGCTATTGAATGCTATTGGTCTGGATTAGCTTTATAGCCACCCAGCATGAGGACAAAACAAGTTTTTTGTGTGTTACTAGGGCAAGACTTTGCATTAAAGATAGTAAAACTATTGGGTGGCAGTGGGGGCAGTTATTATGGGTTCATGTGTAATATGCTAAAATTTCACCCCTGTAAAAAAATACTAATGGAGATACCGTACATATTTTACATCCCAAATAATAATAATAACAAACTGTGTGACTAGGCTCATTCATCCCACATTGGCTTGTTACTATTCCTCCGCATATACATGAGTGCACAAAACACACACTCACACAGTACAGTATTCAGTGGCCTTTAGGTTTTTTCAGCCCCTTTGACTGGATAACTAGTCTATTGAAGGGTTGTTTCCCCATTGGTAAATTCACCCAATAATATGCTTATATTCTTACATAGATTACAGGAAAGGCAACTGACCTCTTACCTGATCATGAAGAAAATGTTTGACTGTTCATTGAAAAACAAAGGCTCTCCTAGCTGAGCTGTAGTGCCCTTACCATTGGTACAGTATAGTTCTTGGTAACTAATGGTCCCAGCAACTCGCTACCATTTTGGTACTGTACTACTAATCATAGTATCGGCCATAAAAATCTGTGCATAAATGTATTTTTACAGGCCTAAAAGAAATTCACTCATCCTGGTAGTTCTGTGAAACCTTATTTCGAAAGAAAGAAAATCATTAATTAAGCAAGTTTACATTAGTTTCTATGAACAATTGCATGTCCGTCTTTCCAAAGCATTGGTGTCTTCTATATGTGTGAGAAGTAATTTCTCTAAATTTGTAATTCGTGTACAGTAGTCAATATTTTGTTCATGATGTATCTTTGGAATTGACCATGTGCCAATATAACTTAAAGTACCCATTCTAATTTTCAAATCGACTTTATTGCTGGAATGGACTGCTGAAAGCTGTCTTATGACTTTGGTACCAAAGTTTCAAGTACTGTACGTATTTTAGTAAGTTCTCTGGACAGCTGGTTGCGTGCGTGCTTCAAATGGTGCTGTTTGTGCTTTACTTTTATCAGTTACTTTATTATTAAACCGTTTTAATTTTATCTGTTCCTAAGATTCAAACAAATTTATATAATTTCAGACATCAACTGTATAACTGTGGTAGGTGAATTTGAGGAGGACATGTCATTCAAACTGTCAATAGTGGATGGTCAAGCAAATCTCACTTTGTACAGTATTGTGATAGTATAAGCTTACAGTTGGTGTGAAGATTCTGTCCCTTGAATTCCAGTAAACAGGCCATAGTGGTAATTCCCATGCAGTAATACTGTAACAACCACTTCAGAGAGAGTCTGTCAACAAGGAAGAGACGTTTAGCTTTGACCTGTATGACCACCGCCCGTGGCCCCACTTGGACTAAGCCAACCTTAGTTAATGCCCAAGTGATTCACTACCACGTACTAGCTAATCCATTAAACAGACCGTGCCAAACTTGGTCTATAAACTCACACAAGTTAAAATAATTATACT